TTGAGCTGGTGCTCCGCGAAAGGCTTTTTACATTGATTCAAACCATTTTTGGAGAAATAAATGGTTCGAATCGGTTGCCGGCTTTGCTTTTTCTAGAGTTTAAATTTGAATGTCGCCTTAAGTTAAGAATATAATTACATTCCAACCGCCGGGCAGACTAGATTAGACTTATTTTCCAGGAGTATTTCCAGTAATGATATTTAATATATTTTCTTGTCTGACCAGCAAATAGATTCCTGTCACGTTTCCTGTCAAATGGAAATATGCATGCATATCTTTAATAATCATGCAGGCTTTCTGTTACAAACATTTTTAAGTTCAATCGCTGCAAATGTCATCAAAATAATTTATCGATGCTTAGTTGAAGTATCGAGTTTTGTGCAATCGTAACGGGCTATCGAACATCGATGAAAATACTCAAAAACATGGATTAAACTTGATTTTCAGACATTTGCTACATTCCTAATGTTGCTTCGATAAGTTGAAATACATTATTCAAACAAATTTTAATCAAAATATTATTTGATTAATATGAACAAGATAACAGAAAATAATTATTATTTAAAAGAAGTTTTCTTTCCAATTCTATCAATTCCATCACAAATATCTAACAGGGTAACCCTTCGTCGAGCACTTAACTCTTTGTCATAATTATCGTCAGCGTTATGGGAATCTGTGTGTATGCAAATTTCTGAATGAGCATTTGAGAGTGCAAATTTGTATTAAAAATATACTTTGTGTGTGCGGGCGGGTAAATTTTGTGCTGTGCGAACAGCATGAATTATCCGCATCGAACGGCGTCTGCTTATGACACTTGACATTACATCGCACATTACGAACAGTCGAGCACTTTGAGCACGTACCGCACGAAGCGCCCGAGCAGGGATCCAACATCCAACACTTCTCATTAACACCGTCAGGCATGAAGCAAAAGAGCGAAAGAGAAGGCAGTCTGTGTGTATACCCTGGTAAAAAGGTGGCTTCAGGCTTTTGTGCCAATGTATGTTACAGAAAGAGCTCAGAGCATTAGCTATCTATATTCTGGCACAGAATGACGAGTTGAGTCGCTCTAAACCAACGCGTCAATAGAGCTGGAGATTCGAAATATGTTGTTTTGTTTATCAAATGCTGAACAGATTTATTATTTCTTATCGATATTTTTTCCTCTTTTTAAATATGGATCAAAATCGATTATCTTTTTCGATTTGCATAATACCGTTAACAATAATCGATACTCTTATCGATATCTCGATCGCTTGTGAAACATGTTTTTTAAGCACAATTCAAATATTTAAAGTGATAGATGTATACAATTTCATATGATTCTCCCTGCGATCTAAAACAACCGAAAAATGAATTTTCCTTAGCATGAGGCTAAGGAAAGAAGCAGAAGCCAGCTTTCACAATAACGTGTGCAGGGTATCTGCTAGTCGTCCACTGTGTTGTTTCTTTTCTGTTGTTGTTCCATGATAATAAAAAGTGTTGCACTTGTTTTGCATACCTTTATTTCCCATACCGCAAACACCACCACCCCCCCCCCCCCCCCCCCCCCCCCCCCTTCAACACACACACACACACAATTAACAAGGGAAGCGCCAAAGACAGGTGTAAATTTGTACAATTTCTGCTTAATTGATGATGGGAATAAAACACAAAACGCAAGACAGCAAAAGCCACAGCAAGAACAACAATTAGGGGCCAGACCGCAGATAAGAAGCGTACACAAAAATTTCTGCATAATTCAAGGCGAAAATATTCAATATCAAATCGAATGCATTAAAAACACACGCACACACGTTTCACAGCCAATCAATTCAGTTATGCAACTACATACATATATAGCTATATATGTAGAGTATGTTAAAGTACAAGAAGTCTTATTATAAATAAGGTATAAGCCGATACGAATTATTCTGTTAGGTTATTCTTGAATTGATGGACAGGGGAGAATAATGAGACTACGAACATTTTAGATTTAAAGAATATTTTAGCATAGAGTAGAAAAGATATACCTAAAAAAATGTATAGAGATATGGAGAATGATTCTCAATAAATTAAATGGAATGAAAAAAGATACAAGATAGAATTACTCACATATTAAATCCACATAAATATAACAATTTGAGATAATATATAAAGTATTATAAGTCAGATGCTTATCTAGAAAACAAAGAAAATCTATATAAATAGTTTTCCTTTTAGTGAAATTTGACATTTATAAAGATATATAGAGAAATAAAGAGCGCTAGATGGAGAGAGGGAGAATGATTCTCTAATCTCGAGAGAGATAAACAGAGAGTAAGGGAGAGAGAGAGAGAGAGACAGAGGCAGACATTGATAGGGAGAGGAAAAGAGAGAAGAAGAGAATATTACAAAGCATATATATTCTTGAACAGTATCAACTGTCGATATAGTCATTTCGCTCGTCTTAAGTCTATCGCCAGGGACTGCTACAGAAAGGGTATATGTCGGACAGCTCTATTATATAGCTAAAGGCAGTTACTGAGTGAAAACACAAACTTAAATGTGTGCAAAATCTTTGCAAAATATGTAATATAGCTCTTGAGAAAGTATTGAGAATGTTTTCGTTTTTCAAGATATTATCTATTAGCTCAGCAAAAGAAAGATTTACAATTCTGCTATATAACTGGAAGGTCAGATTTTTGCGAGCTTCTTAAGTTTGAGTCAGCTGCTTGGGGCTATTCCCTTGCTGGCTAGAGAGTATCTAAGAGTCGTGCTTGCCTGTTGCTTTGCATTGCTGTTGTATGCCTCTTTAATGTGCCCCTTTGGGGCTGTCCAGTTCTTTAACTATTTATTCCCCCTGCCTGCAAATCATGTCTGTTGTGCGTCATAGAATTTTGCCCAGATGACAGGTGCTGCTGCTGCTGCTGCTGCTGCTGGCTATGATTGAGTTATCTAAAATAAAATGCTCAAAATGGCCTGATAAATGTTAGCTGACAATAAAACGTATGACAGGGGCAGCCGAATGGTTAGAGGGCGGCGGGCAGGGCGGGTCCGTGGAGACAACAGTCGCCACACAGTCATTACGTCTGCGACGGATTGCGCGTTGTGGCACAGATACTCGTCAATGCGTGGGCGATCGCATAATAGCCATAATCATCCACGGACCTGTGTCTGGGCTTGACTCTGCGAATGGCAACGGGACACGGTTTTGGGATGGTTATGCAAAAAAACAACAACAACAACCACAAAAGCGAGGCAAGGAAGTCAGCTGCTGTGACACAATTTGAATACCCTTTTAGACACTTGCAAAACCATATACACTCTGGAGCGTCACAGTCTATCTAAAGCATAATTCACATATTTTCTAATGCTGAAGTGTTTTTCTAAAGTTTAAAAATTTTAAATAGAAAAAATCTCTCTCATAAAAACCTTGTACAGCATAACGATTTATGGGCTCGGCTTTGGTGAATTTTGAATAAACTTGAAGGGCTTTTCATTTTTTTTTTTTTTGAGTAAGATAAGATATCTGTTTTTCGTACAATTTATGATTTTTATATAAGGGAATTCTCGCGAATTGCCAAAAGAACTGTGAACTGATTTGGGAACTCACCAATAGCCTCCATTCCAAACTTGTTAGCTCCAATTGGCAAATAGACTGTTATTTCTCGTTCGTTGCTTGCAATTCCCAACAAGTTCGAGCATTCAACAAGAGTCGATTAAATAGGAATACGGCTGAAAGAACAGCCAAACAATTGTCAATTGATTATATAAGCGCGAAAGCTCTTCAATATGCTCATCCAACCTATATTAGATATCCATTATATATTATAGGGTATATGCACAACCTAGCACGAAATCAAATCGAATAAATTGTATAAATTTGCATGGGAAAAGCTGTGACCAAGCACTTGGCTTGCAGCGCTAACAGCTATGCACATATCGTGCACATATATCAAAGTACCCGCAGTAAGGGTATCAAAAAACTAAAACCGCAGTCGCATCAGTTGCCTGTCTTCGTCTTGGCTGCAGGGCATTGTACAGCGCCCACGGTCTACACACGATTAATACTCATTTTTATACATATATACATATATATACGAATGTATATGCATATGTATATGTGAATGTATAAATGTATATACATATGCATGTGCAGATGTACATGCTAACACACTAATTTACATGCGCGTCTGTATGTATTTTCATAGAAGCGAGAGCACACGAACGTGCATACACACACACACACACAGACACACACACACAGAGACACACATACACACACATATAATATATATATATATATATATACATACATCTAGAGATATATACGCGTATGCACAATATATACGCACACATGTATGGCAAATAAATCTGTGCATGTGTATGTATTTATCTAGATCTAGCTGTAGCTCTCTATCTATTGCCGACACAGCGCAGCGCATTTTATTTTTAGATAATTGCTCTTCCTCTTCACAATTTGGCGCTGATCCAAAAAACCGAAGAAAAAGAAGAAGAAGAAGAACAAAATAAATAGATTCTAGATTTTTGCAAAAAAATCATAGTAATAACAAGCAAACGCGCTAATCTCAAAATGATCCGCAGATTACACGCCCTCCCACCAGACAGAGACAGCTGCTCCCCTTATATATATATATATGTATATATGTATCTCTATATTTATCGGACTAACTATACAGAAACTATATAGTGAATACATGTATATATAAATTGTAGCGCGATGCACTGCTTGAGAAATCATTTTCGCTTGATAACATTGATTTTATGACGCTACAAATTAAACCCAACGTTTAAATGTAGTTGAAGCCAATAAAGATTCAAGATTCAATTAGACGAGAGTGTGCAAAAATTGATAAAGTTATGATGTCATGGGAACTAGCTGGGCACTCTGTCATATCTGCCCTGCATAGTTTCAATTTCTACGTGCTGACTAGAAGATATCCTAGAAAACTAGAGCATTTCACTTGACAATTTCCCTCTTAGGGTAATTCCGGCCTTACAGAGCTTCGATCCCCGAACTTGGGACACAGTCTTGAGTTTAGAACAACATTTTATTATATGATACATAACAAATTAACATGATATTAAAATAGTACGATTTATCAACTATACTACGTAAATGCATACTGAGATGACACATATGCATACACACACACACACACATACGCACACGCACATGTACACAAAGTTTTTGTAAGTGTATTGTGTGTGTAGCCTATAAAATGGTAAAGCCAATTTTTACTTATCTAAAGGGCTAATCTTTCTGACAGCAAGCTGATTGCCTTGCACTTGTTGTGGGCGTTAAGTGTGCCCAAACGTGTAAGAAAAATACCATCTCTAGTGCGAACACACTTCGATTGTTTGTGCTGTGATTTATCGATGTCAGCGAGAGTCGATTAATTTGCCTAACACAACGATTGGCAATTCAACATGGCGGCCGCACAATAGCCTGGAAACTGCAGGCACTTCAAAAAGAACTCGGCAACACTCTACAGAGAGAGATAGAGAGACAGAGAGAGAGAGAGAGAGAGAGAGAGAGAGAAGGAGCATACATAAATATACAGTCTATGTATTATAGTACAGGATAGCTCACCCGAAAACAGCTGCTGCATTGGGCTAACAAATAGGTCCAAATGTAGAAAAATGCACCAAGAAGCGCCACAATAAACGACACGAAAAGCAGCACAATCAGCCAAAACAGGAACCACAACGGATTCTTCATATTGTGATGCGATTCTATATAGTATATGCATCAACGATAAGTAGTTAAAGTAAACAATTTGGCTGACTACTCACCCGGATCGCAAACAACACAACTTGCCTTGACAACTTGTCTCGTCTACTGGCACTGGGTCTTGACATGGACTTATTGAGCGACTGCTAAGTATATGCTTCTAATCGGGCTATCTAACATTTGAGTGGCAATGTGCTACGGTAATTTTGACCACACACACACACACACACACACACGCACAATGAGTTTAGATAGGCCTTCCAAGTATTAGTCTATATGGACTTTATTTTATGCTGATTACGGCCATAACTTGTGAATGTGCGAATATAGATAGGCCAGTGCCAGCGTCAAATCTAAAAAATAGGAAAGAAAATTAATTCAATTAAGTGATATAAAGACCAATTACCCCTTAGAAAACTGCATAAAAGATAAACACTAAAGGCCAGAGCTAATGAGAACTGCATGGAAAGGCGATACATAATTGAAGAGGCAAGTGAGTAGGTTATAAATCGCATGAACACGCGTGTAAACGAGAGAGAGGGCGCCTTTCTCTGCAGTTCTCATAAGTTCAAGTCATGTTGCATAAATGTATGGATTTTGATTATGGTTTTTGATGGGACAAAAAAAAACTTACACAAGTTACACTCATCTATTTGACATGCGCTTAGTAAGCTGTGATTAATATAAACTTATAAAGAACTCGGGGATCTCATCAAGTTTTATGCCCAACAGGCCCTGCACCAGGTATCAAAACTCATTAATCACCTGAATTTAGAGTCAAACATAATATATATATATATATATAGTTATATTTACATATATATACATATGTATATATATATAATCATAGAATATAGTGCGAGATGAGCAGCAAACAGGTATACGATGTGGTCGATCCCACGGCCGACGCTCTGAAGGCATCAGCATTTGCACAACGGATCTACACAAAATGTGTGCGCACTCCCGAGGATCTGGGCAAATGGAAACGATCTCGGGCCTACTATGACCTGGTGGCATACATAAATAACACTAGCATGGCCATACAGGGTCATCGTCAGGTCGGCGGCTATTCAGTGTCCAAGCAGATGCTTAAATTGTGCAAAATCTTCAATTGGCTGGATCGTCTGGTATATCAATGTCATCCGTTGGGCGCCGGTCAGGGACTGCTCCGTTGTGTTGGCGAGGATAGACTCGATACGATGGAATCGACCCATTCGCTGCGCCAGAAATGCCATCGCGCATATCGGCAATGGATCAAGTTGGTGCAGGAGAAGGTCTTCTTCATACTGGAGTCCCAGGTGAAGCCGCACTGCAAGCACGTCAATGAGCTGGCCCAGTATTTGTCTCGCTCCTTTGGTAGCCTACATCATTACGACTACGGACCCGGCAATGAGCTAATGTTCCTGTTCTTTTTGTGCGGCCTGTTCAAGTCGAGTATATTGCAAAGCGAGGATACTGTGGCCGCGGCCCTATTGTTGTTTCAACGCTATCTGGATCTGGTGCGCCGCCTGATGACCTTCTTTCGCCTGGTCCCGACTAGTGTGCGTGACAATAACGTGATCGATGATCGCAACATTCTGCCATATATCTGGGGCTGTGCTCAGCTCTGTCGGGAGCAGCCGTTCGCACCGCCGCAATGGGAAAAGCCGGCCATAATGGAGGCACATCGTCAGAACTATATGCTGCTCAGCAGCCTGGAGCATCTGCAGAAGATAATGGGCAATGTCGCACTCGGCGTGCACTCGTATCAGCTATGGTGTGTGCTCTCGCTGTCCAACTGGCCGGATGCGTACTCTGGCCTGATGGGAACTTATCTCAAGTATGTGCTGAACGACTTTTACACCATACAGGATCTGATCTTTTGCGAGATGTTGTCTTTTGCGCGCCAGCCCCTGGAGTATTTACAGCGGGCCTTTTTGGGTGAGCTGCCCAATCAGGAGACATCCTCATCACAAACTGATGGCAATGAGGAGGAGGGTGAGGAGGAACAGGAGCTGGAGCCATATCTGGCGAAGAGCGAGAAGCAGAAGCAGAAGCAGAAACAGAAACAGGACATCAAAACGCAACAGCAACAATTGCCATTGGGCCCGCCCGTGCCGCTGCACAAAAGCCTGAACACCGATGTCTTTCTCGGCTATAAGGATCCGCGCAAGACGAGCGATCTGGGCGAGGATTCACACATCAATATGCTGCGCCGGCAACGTAACCAAAAGAATCAGCCGCTCGAAAAGTCCTCAAATCTGGTGGATTCAAAACGCCAACAGAGCTCCCAGCTGAGCCTAGAAACGGGTGGCTCCGATGATTTTGTCAAATTGAACGAACTTTTGGGCATCGAGAAGTCGACCAAAAGTCAATCGACCGTCTCAATCTACAGCATCTAACGAACAGTAAACGCAAGGAGCATCGAAACCAAAAGATACACTTTATATATATTTATATATTCATATAGATATATACATATATATATACTTATATATATATATATCTGTCAATTCCTGTCTATACATCAATGGGGGCTCTGTGGAAATGTTATTATTTAACATACATAGATATGTAGATATAAATTATAACATGCTATGTATCTGTTACTATCTGTCTCTCACTTACACAAACTCAGACGCACACGCACACACACACACACACACACACACACACTCTGTCTCTGTCTCTCTAATTTGCTCTTGGACATTAAATTCGCAGCTGTTTTATTTCGTGAGTGTGTTTGTGTTTGTGTTCATCTGTGTTTTATGTTTGCTTGTCTGATTGTGCGACAACAAATGATTCAGTTGGTCTTTAACTGGAACTTATTAATTTCTACACAAGCACACATGCACTCTAGTAGACCGTCTCACGCAACTTGCTATTATTATTATTATAGTTGTTCTTGTTGTTGCTGCTGTTGCTGTTGATATAGTCGTTATTGTTATTGTTATTTTTATTGTATTTCCACTGTCACTGCCGTTTCTTCTTCTTTGCCTTTCACACATAATGTTAAGTTCATAAAGAACAGCACATCATTGTTATGGCAGCTGATAAACTGCGAGCAATACATGCACACACACACACACACATGCACACATGCATGCATGCACACATACATACGCATACGTATACGCATGTACATATATCGCATACGCACTGTGTCTGTTATACATTCTCGACTTTTCCTAATTTAACGCACATTGCAGTATTCCTCTTAGTTCTTTTTCAAGAACTCTTTTATCTAGCTACCACTGTCTATTTGATTGTTTTTCTTGTGGTGAACAACTGTATAAATAATAATAATTGCAATTGATTGTTCAACTTTAGCAGATATATTAATTGTAACATTTTTTCTCATAGCATAGCTAGATATTTGAATTGTTCTGGGCAAATTATCTGCAATTAAATTAAACGATTATGTATTTTCGTATTTCTACGTAATTCGGGTTTCCTTAACTTCGAACCACTGTAACCGCGTAATTTGATATAAATAGTAGACCCGTCCATTTTTTTTTTTTTTTTTTTTTAATTGAATACCTGTCAACATAACTTATGAACGAAAAAACTAAAAATCAACTTGAACCTCGACCCCAAATTACTTAAGTACCTGTGCATGTATGTATGCATGTATGTGTGTACGTACATCATGATTTATCAGCTTTCATAATCGCAGCCTTGATAGATTATAGATATTCGATTCCGTGTGCTAACTAGATAAGCTTTATTTATAATAAAGTCAAGTGTAGTAAGTTAATGTGAAAGTTGAGATAAAACCTAACCTGCCAGATGCAGTTCGATTTATCGATAACCGACACTAAATATCGATACCAGATATTAAACACACTTTTTAGAAAGACATTCACATTACATACATACATATGTGTCATCAAGTCAAAACCAGTTACGCTGAGAATAGAAATTTGGTAAGAAAGCGTTTGAACTCTTATTGGCCATTTAGTGGCTACACACAAACACACGCACACACAAGCACGTGTGAAGTTTTGACAAACTAAATAAGTCACATTGCATGCACTAATACAATATATACATACATACATACATACATACACATATGTACATTTACGTACATACATACATGTAGTTGTATTTGTATGTATGTCAACAATTGGCGCGCAGTAGCCGACCGCAGTTGCTGTTGCTGCTACTAATGTTATTTTTGCTGCTGCTGCCGCTGCTACTGTCCGTTGGCACAGTCATGGTGAAAATATTTCAAAAATGTCTGTTAATTTAACAGCAGCGCTGTTAGGCGCGCTCGCAGCTTTGCAGCGATCTCATTCCAGAATAGGCAACACGCGCGTTAGCTTTTTTGAGCTCCAACAGAGAGTCGCTGTTACGCCCTGCATGTGTACGCTCTCCGGCTGCGGCGCTCCCACTCTCTTAGCCTCTCGCACACACACACACACGCACGCAAGCTCTGGCCACAGTAGATGCGACAAGCGAATGCAAAGTTGAACGTTGCTGTTGTAAGGGAAATGGGGAAAAATGAAAAGAAACCAAATCAAGAAAAAACTTGTTCCTTTCTAACAATAAGCGACAAGATCGGAGGTCTTATCCCGCTCATTTGCTGCATCATCAGTTGACCAACTGGCTGTTTGGCCGGCGCAACAGCAACAAAAACATCAGCGACAACTCCTTCGCTCTTTCACCATCCACCGAGCGGCCAACCGACCGACAGACCGACCAGCCGACCGCCACCTGCATTACAGCCTCTCTCCACATCTGACGACGTGCAACAGCGCAACAACAAAAGCACAACGCACACACATGTGAGTGTCATCCGACAGTACCCGCAATACATGCAAACAGACAACCATAGGAAACGCATTCATACTTTCACACATACACATGCATACACACACACACACATCCATACACACACACACACACATCCATACAGCTAGTTGTTAAACTTGCTTGCTAACTTTGTCTATATGTATGTTTGTACACGGAATATGTGTGTATGTATGTACATATGTATGTATGTGTTTTTGTTTAGTTGTCTTCAGAATATTTCTCCAGCTTTAACATTTAATTCTATTGTACTTTAACAAATGATTGCCACTTCATTTTAATTTATCCCAGTCATCAAATTTACCCATTTATTTGTTTGCCAAATGATCGGAAAACTTGTGAATACATGTTAACATACAAACATTAATTGAAGCTTGTATTTTATTTATGTTTGTATATACATGCATATATGTATATACATATATGTACATACATATTCATATTTAATTGTTTAACAGTCAACAACTTTAACAGAACAGTAACTGTTAATTTGTGTACAGATTATGTGCAGCTTAACAGATTATTTTTTATTAAATCTGAAAATCCTGTAAGTGCGTGAAACACATTGTTTTTGAATCGAACCTGCCCCATATTCTTGAATATACCTGTATATGAGTTTGTATTTATGTGTGTCTGTAGTTGGCCTACCTGCTTTTTTGTGGACTCTTTAGCCTGTTTTGGGTACACAGATGCAAATGATACCCCTTCCCCACCTTGCCAACAGGCAACACAGCGCCACTGACGACGATGCCTGGTACTTTGCTTTTCTTTACAAACACAAGCACAAGCACAAGCACGAACACGGGCACACACACTCACGTACAGGCAATCGCAGCGTGTCTGTTGTATTGTTGTTGCTGTTCTTCTATGCCCTGGCCGCGCCACAAACAACAAGTGAGCGAAATCGAGCGCAAAGTAAATGAGCGGCAAAAGGCAACAGCGCAGCTCGACTCGGCTCAGTTCGGTTCGGTTCGGTTCGGTTCGGCTCGGCTCTCCACGCTGTATTAGTCACACGTATGCCACTAACAGGCGCACGAAGAAGAATGAAGAGAGCGCTTGCGTGCGCGTGTATTTGTGTATTTATGCATGTTTGCTTTTCTGGTATTGGTGAGTTGTTGTATTGGGTTTGGGGCTTGATCACATTGTGCGGTTGTAGTTGTCATCGTTTGTGTGTTAGCAAACTAAACAGAGACAGCCAAACAGCCAGCCAGTCAAACAGGCAGCAGCAAGAGCCCAGACACGGAGCCGTGTTGCCAGTCAGTCGGCCCAGCGAGCGAGCTACTGTCGTTCTTTGTATTGATTCCGATTCAGTCGATGAGTTTCTCTCGCTTCTGCGCGTTGCGTGTTTCGCAGTGTTTCCGCGATTTTTTCGTTGTCGTCATCGTTGCCGCGTCTGCCTGTTCGCCCCGCACCCCGTCTGCGCCATACACATTCCCCCCGCCAGCTCGTCACGCGGGGCTCTGTGCGTTGTTTCTGCGTGTGCCTGTGTGTGTGTGTATATATATATATTTATTTTTTTTATTGTGTGTAGATATTTAGTTGTTTTATTTATTTTTTGCCGTGTTTTTTTTCTTAGTTATTTCATTTTGTTAAATTTACATACCCCCTTTTTGTTTTTTTTGGTGCTCATTTGTGTACTTAATGTGTTAACTCAAAATACATACATACATATAACTTATAAGATTTGATTTTGATTATTTCTTTGCTGCTGTGTCGATGTTTTTATCTGTATAGGTGTGTGACTGTGTGTGTATGTGTGTGCGTGTGTGTGAGAGTGCTCATTCAGTTAAATTTAGGCGATGCGCGTGTGCTGCTGGCCATGTTGTGTTCTTCTGCTTCCTCTTGCTCGCTTGCGGTTGCTGCAACATTAAATGCATACCGCCAATTGTTCATTCTGTTTGCAATCAAAAACAAAAAAAAAAAAAAACACCCTCGCATTTAGCAACAACAATTAATAAAAACAACAGTGAAAAAAAATCAAATTTCAAAATTTCATTCAGTTACAATTACTTTGTGTATGTGTGTGCAGCCTAAATGCTAATACATATGCATATGTATGTGCATAAATAAATACGCCAAAACAAGATAAATTATTGTGCGTGTATGTGTGTGAGTGCGTGCGCTGAGCCCAACATCTTTAAGAGTGGAGCCACTCAAAAAGTACGCACCGCAGCGTACAAAACATGCGTACATTAATATGCACATATGTGTATGCATATGTGTGTGTGTGTGTGCATGCTGTTTTTTTTTTTTTTGATTTCGCACACAGTTGCACTCGTTCCAAAAGGAAAACAACAAATTTGTATGCAAAAGCCACTCAATGCATATGAGCTGCGTGGGTCAGACAAAAACAACAGCAACATTTGCGCTTTAAGCAAAAGCTTCAATTAAGCGCGACTCGAGAAGTGCAGAAAATTACCAAAGCGTCGCTTGTTCGTCCATTCTTTTCGCTCTTTTACTCTTTTTGTTTTCCTTTATTTTTTTTTTTTAATTTACAATTCTGCTCTCGCAATGCCTGCGCTGCACCTTTTTTCTGCTGAAAGGCACACACACATACGCGAGCGCGCGCACACACTCACACACATGCACTCAAAGTAGTCGCAACACATACACACGCAGACGCAGCAGCGGCAGCGGCGCGCGCGCGCGCGCTTAAGTTTAAAAGAGAAAAAAAAAATCTCAACTCTAATTGCCTACAACTGGCATTTCATAAATCTTTGCAATCTAGTTCTCAACACACAATGTGAAGTGCAAACGGCAAGAAAAGTGATTTTAAACACGGTAACAAGTACATCGCGCACAGGCGCTGGGCGTTATCATAACTGATAACAGCAAAAAGCACAACAGTGAAAACAGTTAACAGCGGTTAAAATCAAAAACAAAAACAAAAAAAGAAAAAAACAGCAAAACGTGTGTACGCCTCTGTGACATCAGCATCCCATTTGCAATTACCACATACAAATACAATAAAAGCTGGCTGCATGAAAAACATCACCAGCTCAAGCACTTGCGGCACGGGGCTGCTGCAATTGCAGAACAATCTCAGCAACAGCGAATTGGACGTCGCTGTTGTTGGCAAACCAGAAGCAGGTGCGTTTTTTACACCCTCTCACTCTCGCTCTGCCTATCCAACTCTTTCTACCTTTTTATTCTTGCTCTCTCTCTCTCGCTCTCTCTCTTAATAAAATAGATAAATACATGCATACGTGTGTTTCACTCAATTTATCTCTGGCTGGCATCGACATATGCGATCGTAACCGATAAGAGAGTGTATAAGAGAGCGGAGCACCCTTAACATTTATTTGCATATTGAAAATACATACAAACATACTTGTAAAATTTCCCACGTTGGACAGTGGAATATTTCGAATAACATCAATTATTTAATATGGGACTTTATTATATTGTTTCACTGCACATCGAATATCGAATCCAATATTTTTCAGTCAAGCGGAATTGATTAGCAACATTTTCAAATAATAATCATTGCATCACTATTCAAAATATATTCAAGTTATATTCTTCTATTTCTTTTTCTGACCAAGTCTGCTTAACAGTCAACTGTTAGAGTTTGAGAGTCATTGAGTTCGTGTTACAGTCTGACAGGCAAGAAGCCTGAATATTCAAGACGATTCGATTCTTTAAATAATCTAATCGATAATTACACTAAAATTTCCCGTTAATTTAGCTTCAAGTCGTACTCTTCAAAATCAGTTACTAGGCAAATAATATAAATCTTATCTAGATTATATATTTCGCGGGTTGATCTTTAAACTAAAACAGCTGCTTTTGTGATTTTATGTATCCTGCAGCAATCAGAGAGAAACAACAAAAACTGCTTCCTTCTAAAAACAAACAGATGCAGTGGGCCTTTGTGTGTGTGTGTGTGTGCGGCTTTTACACCTTGGCTAAGTTGCATTGATTTACTCTTACGCTCGGTCGCCCTTGCTCTTGTGCGCTCTCTCTGCATTCGAACTTCTCTCTTTTGTGCAGTGCTCGCGCGTTCTTTAATCAAGTCAACGCTGGTGACAAAGACAACCAATACCAGCAACAACAATAACAAACACATTGGATACGACTACTATACTGGTTTCTACCTACCCACATGCAGGCACACACATATATATATACATATACATATACTCCACTACCTTTGCATGTTCTTACGTTTATACACGCACACACACTTAGCTATATGTCTGCCTATTGAAGCGAGTGACAACAACAACAACAGAGCGTCGCTACCTTTGTAACTTTTATAAGCAATGTACGTGTGTTAGGTGGGGTTCACAGAACCCGATCGGTTGCGTCTTGCGCAATGTTTTTTGCCCATGCACCGTTTACACCATGTCCTGCTCTCGCTCTTCCTCTCTCTCTCGCTCTCTCCCGCTTTCTGCCTAGCTATCTCACGCACTCATAAGTCATGACGTCGCAGCTCATCTTTAGCCAGCAGCCAAACCATTTGAGCGCTGTTGTCTACTGCCATCGATTCCGACTGTTAATAACATAACAGTCTGTTATGCAAAATTAGGCGCGATCGCTGCAACCAGTCCCCGAGTCAAGTCAGCAATAAATAGCATTAGCAATAGCTAAATCAGCTTGGGGATTTTTTGTGTTTTGTGTGTGTGTCTTTTTTTTTTTTTTTTTTAACTTGACTTTAAGCTTGAGTACGAGTTTGACTTGAACGTGTGTGCGTGTGTGTGTGTGTGTGTGGATTTCTATCAGGCGAAACAAAAAGTTGTCCTACCAGTTTTTTTTCTTCTGTTTTGTTGTTTCTTCTTTTTCTTTTTGGGGTCATTCTTTTGTGTGTGCGCCGCGTTGCTGTTGTTGTTGCTGCTGTTGCTGTTGTTGTTGCTGTTTGTAGTGGTTTCTACTGTTTTCCTCTCCAATGCTCGTTGTTTTGCTGAGTGTGTTTACCTTGGTACTCGCGACGAATTCGATTTGAACGGTTCCACAGCATTTGCTGTTGTTGGTTTGTTCCTTTCCCGATGGCTTTGCCCCCCCAGCCCCCAATTGCAGTACACTGCGAAAAGCGGCAATTACGCAATCCTGTCGGACTTCCAATCGATTCGATCCGTTCTATGCACATTTGTTCGATTCTGGCTCTCTCTCCCTCTCTCTCTTTCTCTCTCTCTCTTTCTTTCTAGCTTTCTTGTCTCTTCCAATCAGTTAGCACCGTTTGCCACGAGACATCTTTGGCTTTATTGTATATCTCTTGCCAGCAGTCGAAAACCAGTTTCCGCCTTTCCACACCCCTTTCTTCTATTCCTATCCCTATTCCTATTCCTATTCCCACTTCTACCGTTGCAATCAGCAGCGACAAGGCGACAAGAAGTTTTCAATCAAATTGCGCTGCAAAATAAAATAAACAATCGACAAACTTCAACAAGTTTTCGATTGGAATAAATGGATATACATATGTATATATATATTCGGCGACAATCGAGAATGTTCGTTCGTTAGACTTTCCATTTATTTTGGAGGCTAAGAAATTTAATTTTAAATTTTATTTAACCTCTTCTGAGTTCCATGAAACGTCTGATAACAGTTTTAGAACCTTGAGTTTTGGTATAAGCTCTTATATTATATATATTCTCTTCGTAGAGGGCATTGCAAGTCTGTCAGGAAACGGGTTTGAACCTGCTAGCTGTTATTGAGGTACCTTCCCCTACAAAACTATAGGCCTGGTAAGGGTATTAAATAGTTTGCTAGAGCCCAAATATTTTTATTGCTTGCGTGTTTTTTAAATGTCCATTTGGCTTTGTTTTTCTATGTTAAACAATTGTTAATTTTTAACTTGTGTGTTGCATATTAGGTATGTAAAGTTCTTAATGACACCTTAAAAGTATGCTGTGTTTTAACTTTAGCTTCCACTCTGAATCTCTGTTAATTAACAAAGCAAATTAAATCAGAACTTAAATAGAATATGAATATATATAATTGCATTTGATGAGCTGATGACTAAGTTTATTTTTCAACCTTAACCTATAAATATACGAATGGTTATAGAATACCTTCTGATGTGTGACACGATTCCTCTTAATTTTATACATACATACCTACCTACTACATAATATGCTTCCTACAGTCTACTTTTCTACGTAGCACGTATCGTTGGCAAATTCCTTGTAAATTCGCGGTCTGGCATCTCTCATTTCTCGCCCGTTTCTGGCGCTCATCCTACCCATTCACAAAAATATACATACATACATACATACATTATTTCTTTATTCCCCCAATCGGCAAATAATTCACTTAAGTTTCCACAACTGTACAATACGTGGAGTATATCACATATCAACAACTCTGCACAAATATCTTTGCGTATGTAATCTGTAATCTGTATGTATGTATGTATGTGCATATTGCATGCATATAGTTTTTGAAAGTATTGTCGCCTGTCAGCCGGCTGATGACCGATGACAACGAGTGCTATTAACATGCAATTCAAGCGCCATTGCAGATCATGTGCGAAACACACCCACGAGAGCATTTAAAAAAGCCTGGCTGCTTACACACGTACGAGCACACACCCACCCACACACACACACACACACACACACATTCTCACAGCTGCAGTTTATGTTTCCAAAACAACTCAGTTGGCTCTCTCTTGTCACTTGCTGCCAGTGTTGCCAACTTTGATAAGCAAAATGCTAGTTGGGGTGAATAAGAAAATGGAAGAGGCTAGTTTTTATTTTCATACTCATCTAATTAATCTATTTAAATACTACATTTCTAATAGTATACTATTATTATGCTCAAGCTGTTTAATTGTTGTTGTTGTTGTACGTTTTCTGAAAAGAGAAATATGAAATTAAAAAAATAGAGCTGTCCGTTTTACAAGCTGAAAAAAGCCAAAACTACCGCTGCTCGCAGTTTGAACTTTTTCGCAATCACTTGGCAACGCTGCTTTCTGCTGCTGCTGCTACCGCTGCTGCTGCTGCTGCTGCTCTCTTGCACTCATTTAGATTTGTCCCATTGCGTTGCCGACTGCTGCTGCTGCTGCTGCTGCTGTGTTCTGTTTTCGAAGTATGTACGTGACTTGCTTCGCACTTCCTGTATCGTTTTGTTGGCCAGAGAAATGTTGCCAATTATTCAAAGTGTGCGGCGGCGGCAGCTGCCGCTTCTGCTGCTGTCGACAGACAAATAAAATAAACAAATAATAACTGAGCACTGTGTATGTACATACAAGCGCACAAACACAAACGCATGCCAAAATTGCATGTGTGTGTGTGTGTGTGTGTGTGTGTGAGCAAGCGATTGCGAGAGTCGGCAATTTGCCGCCTGACGTTGTTGTCACCACGCCGCGTTGGTCCAAAGAAATCAGCGAGACGTCGACGTCGACGTCGACGTCGACGCATGCATGCACTCAACTGCTCAACTGAACGGGACGAAACCCACTCGGAAAGTACTTAGTCAGGCCAGACAACGATGAGGCGGTCGGTTTTAGAGCGGGTGAGCGGACGCGGTCACCTGTCTGAGTCATCGATTTAATTTTAAACACTATTTCGAGACCTTAGTCAATGAACGCGGCGTGCGCGGCACTCGAAAAGCCCAACACCTTAAGAGAGCGCTGATAATGCTGCTGCTGCTTTTGCTGGGCGAAAAGTAAAGGCATAGGCAAAGGCAACGGCAAACGGCAAACGGCAATGGCGTAAACGTTCTCTCTTAGTGCGCGCACAAATCAAATTTGCTTTTGTGCAAGAGTTATTACAAAATGTTGTTGCGTTGCACTGAAAATTGCTCATGCTCCTCTCATTCTCTGCCTATGTCGCTCTTTCGCTCGCTGGCAGCTGGCAGCTGGTCTCGCCCACTGTTAACTCTAACATAGGCTGGCACTGCAACTATTACTGTTGCAGTTACAGCTGTTATAGATTCTGTAAGAAACGATATAAGTAAATGTTTTGTATAGACGATAGATTCTTCGATTTGCTTGATTTAGTTTAATATTACAGTAAGAGTAACTTGTTTGTTGGGAAATTGATCTTTTTCTAGTTTCATTTAGTTCTTCTATAAAAAAAAAAACAGTAATTATAACAGTCTATTTACACTGATTTACAAAAATATTAATCATACGCCGAGTTGTTTTTTTTAAATATAACCGCAACATTATCAAAACAATGTTCAGGTGAGCATTATCCCAAGCTAAGATCTAGTTCCGCAACTTGCAATATTTTATTTGTATATTTGGTCAACATGTCGTATGAATTATATTATTTAGCACAAATTGAGCGTTATTTTAATATATTTCATTTAATCGCATATTGAGTTGAAAAGGCAAGTTTGACAGTCCGCAAAATACCCACTGCCCACATTTCATGCGCCCTAACAAATATACTTTTGCTCTTTAAGTTTATCTCAGACTTTTTTGTGTTCGATATTTGAAAATACATATATCACTATATTTAGAAATATATCGATTTTAAAACAAAAATCAGGCCACATTACATTAGGTACATATAGTTTTTATTGTATTTACATAGTATACAAAGATTAAGAAAACTTCGTTTTTTGAAACCCAAATTAAAGAAAAGAAAATAATTGCCATATAAACACATATAAAGCTAATATTGAAGAGCTGTAAATTGCACAAAGTTTGGACTTTAATTTGAATAAAAAGTACGTGGTATGTCGTGCTGGTCGACTTCTCAGTTGATTTATGCTTTGAAATTGATGTGAGTTCAGCAATTTTGATTGTTTTGCCAACCCACACACAAGGCAAAAGGGCAAAAGGAAAATTAGTTAAGTGCATGAAAATTGGAAGCGGAAGAGCTCGTTATGGACATGGACGCCAAGATAACCAAGTACTTTGAGAGAATCAACTATGGAGCCGTGCAGCGTGTGCGCAGGGAGTCGGATATGGTGCTCTGGCCCAAATCGATAGCCTACCACGAGCTGGTCACGTACATCAATCGGACGAGCACCGCGATCCAGGGTGTGCGGCAGCTGGAGCCGGACGCCTATCCGGTGAGCGCGACCATGCTGCGTCTGTGCGGCATCTTTGATCGCCTGACCCTCTGGCTGACGCACGGCAAGCCCAGCGTTGCGGATGCGTATCGCTCCTGGTCACTGCACATGCTGCGGAACATCTTCAATATGCTGGAGCAGGCGCTGCCGCACAACAAATGCGAGCATGTCAGCGAACTGGGCCAGTATCTGGCCGGCTCCTTTGGCAACTATACGCGCGTCGATTATGGCACCGGGCACGAGCTGAGCTTTGTGTTCTTTCTGTGTGGTCTATTCCGTGCGCATATCCTGCTGCCGGCCGATGAGCCCGCCGCCGCGCTAATGCTCTTCAATCGTTATCTAAGCTGTGTGCGCCGCCTGCAGACACAGTTCGATCTGAAGCCGGCGGGCAATCAGGGCGCCTACTCTCTGGATGACTATCAGTTTGTCGCATACTTGTGGGGCGCCGCCCAGCTGTGCTACCATGCGCCCTTTAATCCCAAACAGCTGCTCGATGCCGAAACGCTGGCCCAGTGGCGTTCACAGTACCTGCTAGCCGGCTGTGTGGCGTTTGTGGCCAGCACAAAGCTGGGCAACTTCTCGACGCACTCCAGTCAGCTGTGGAGCGTGACGGCGCTATCATCCTGGACGCATGTCTACCATGGCGTGCACAATATGTACCTGAAGGAGGTCATCTGTCAGTTTCATTTGCTGCGTCACATTTGCTTTGGCCGGCTGATGCGCTTCGATCCGGCGCCGGTCACCAGGCATCTGAAGCGCGCCCAACTTGGCTTTCTGAGCATTGCCAGGCAACAGTATTTGAGCCAAACACACGATGGCACAGAGATGCCGCAGCAGCAGAAACAGCACGGCAAGAAACAGGATGAGGCGCATGAGGATGAGGATGAGTCCTTGCTGCCGAAATATGAGATCTCGCACAGTGCGCTTAGCACGGGCAAAAGTGTCACCTCCTTGAGCGGCACCAGCGTTCATCTGCGCTCGCTGGCCAAGAGGCTCAGTAAGCTGCAGGAGAAGCATGCCAAGCTGAAGGCTGATTTGAGAAATTAGTGCTACATGCGTGCGTGTGTGTGTGTGTGTGTGTGTGTGTGTGTGTGTGTGTGTGTGTGTGTGTTGACAAGAAATCAAATCAAACGAATTGAAATGAAATAAAATTAACTTGGCAAACAAACAAGCAACTGTTGTTGTTGTTGCTGCTGCTGCTGCTGTTGCTGTTGCTGCTGCTGCTGATGTATCACCAGCTGCCCATTAAACGTAAACCAGTTCCAGCTGCGGCCACGCCTCCCCCACGGCCGCCCGCCCGCTCTGGCGTCGCAGGGCAAGCGACTAAAAATCTGTTAACCGGTTTAGAAACAGACTAAAAAATAAAGCGGCTGCTGCCTGAGAACTGTTATACATAAGCGCTGCGAGCGGCTGCTGCTGCTGGTACCGCTGCTGCTGCTGCCTTTAATCAAAAACAAAAACAAAAACCAATTAAACACACGCTCACTGTCAGGCAGTCGGACAGTCGGACAGTTGCTGCAGTTGCGCGTGCCTGCGGCCAAAAGGGAAAGCAATTGAAGAGTAGCTGCAAATGTTAGATAAATCCTTTCACAAAGCGGCGTCCAACGACAGCAGCAACAAATTGTAATAATATCTAAAACAGAAAGAAAAAAAAGAGCAACTAGCCATCACACACACACACACACACACACACACACACACATACACACACACATGCTCACATGAGTGTGGCTTTCTTTCCGGTTTAATCGATCGAACTTTGTGGCCGTAGCCAAAATGTCAAACGACAATAGACCCCATACGAGCTATGACTAAGAGTGGATATATATATGTATATATAAGTACATACCCTCGAGCCATTTGAAAATGAGCATAACACCTTTCTGCACATGCAGATGATAATTGCGCACATTTTCCTATGATCTCGATATACATATCACGATTTTGAGACATTCATTTGTAAATAGCTCGAAAAGAATTGACTATTATTAATATGAACTTATTGTGTGGCATGTGGCATAGTATGTTTATTTTGGTTAGCTTTATTTCATACTGCATTCCAACTAAAATTGCGTGTTTTTGAAGATGGAGAAGAAAGAATATATCGATTTGGCATACACATAAATGACTCGTTTGTGTGTAGGGTATCTCCTAGTCGTTCACTCTTTACTGTATCAGCATTAATTGTTTATTCATGTCTATGAGCTTGTCTCTGCTGACCAACACACATGCCTAATCCTGGCGTGTTGGTGTACTTTACATGAGTTTTTCTTATCGGCAGGAAAAGAAAAAGGTTCCCAATTGACTTTCCTAATTAACTGATATATATATATAAAGATATAGCGTACTATATACCTACATCTTTCGTACTGCATATACTGTGTTTGCTCGCTAATTAAAAAGCGTTGCTTAAAATTCCAATTTCTGACTGTTGAAATATGGAAAAACATGTGCATAATGAAAAACAAATTAATATATTATTTATATATAAATATATATTATTTTTTGCGAATCCTACTCTTAACTTTCCCTAGTTTTAGTGGCTAAACGACAGCTGTATGTATTTTTTGGTAGCACTAAAAATGTCCGAAAATGTACGCCTATCGTTATTGATATATCATGCAAATATCGTATGTTATCGATTATCGATCATTGTTATCGATAAAAATGTATAGTGTTGCATAACAGATAACAGATAAGATTAAAGCTTTTGCTTCTTAAAGCTAGTTAATAAATTATAGTTACTTAATCTCTAGCTAAAATACAAAAACCCAAGCTCTATGGCAACCAAGGCTGCAAACGGGGTTCAGAATTCCCGAACCTAGCTTAACAGATGCGAAAGATCACATTCACGTAGCTAACCAAAGGGAAGAGAGTTGGTTTGTGCATTTAACTGCGATAGAAACTTCTTTTCATGCTTCTTAAGATCATGCTGCTCTGGTAATGTTATCGATAATTATCGAACATCGGCCTTGAAAATAATAAATGTCCTTTCAGAGTTATTTTGAGTCGTTATTATGATAAGTATAGGATAGTATGAATAGCATTGGCTGCAACAGCCACACACACTAGACTGGGATTTGAACCAGCAACCTGCCTATTCGCTTGCCTGCGTCAAATAACTGCTCCCAACTCTTGTTTAGTAACTAAGCATTTTGTACAGTTAGAGGACGATTTGAAAACGGGCAACCCGCAAAATAGTTCTGCTCGGTTTGTTAATTGTTTATCTGACGAGAAGATCTGCTAAGCTTTAGCTTTGTTGTGTGGCGGTGGTTGTGTTCGATTTTCGCTACCCTTAAGAGCTGACTAGCTGCCAGTTGGGAACTAACCTGTCCTCAGATTTTGTTGCTGCCAGACATTGGGTCATCAAAGGGTTAAGCTTTGAAAAGCATTTGGCACTTTTTGTTTGGGAGTTGAGGACAGTTTTTGTCTCTGGGCAGCGAGGCTTTCATGAAAGATTGGATTGGATTTTCAAGTGCCCAGACACACATACACACGTACACTCACACACACACACACGTGAGCATTTGATTGATGATAAACTATCACCACCTCGTCCATATGCAAAGGGCCAACCCTAAACAGGGGTTGAGCCCGTGTTCAAGGATGTGTTAGTAAAGCAAAATATGGCAGATCCTTAGCTTAACTACAACAAAACAAAAACAACGCAAAAGAGTTGTGTTCCGATAAACATAAACACATATATGTGTACACGCAACTTTTATTTTATATATATACATATATATATATATATATATATTCTCATGCATAGGTGTGTCTCCTGGCTGTTGTGTGTCTGCATACGTGCACGTCCTGCTAAGTATGTTGCGATACATATTTTTGATAACTCGCGCACACACCATGGAATGCCGACTGTGCCACTGTGCATGCTTCGTTAGAACACAGTGGTGTGTGGTGTGTGGTGTGTGGCGTGGTGGTGTAGGTTAGGGGTTAATTTGCTGCCGTTTCGTATACCCTGTAATGTGATTTGTTAAGGCAAAGCTGTGCAAATGCAAAGGAATATACATGTATTGCATATACAACTCGGCAATTGAGCCGTCAGGTTGGTGGTTCCAATGCCAGTCTAGTGTCTGTATCCTATGATATTCATACTATCCTTTACATATCATAAAAATAAAAACAACTCTTAGATAACTTTTATTTCGAGTTCGATAATTATCGATAACACCAGTATCGATTACATTGCCAGAGCAGCCTAATCTAAATGAGCATTATTTATATGAATTGTCAACCACAGTTGACGGATCTAACCAACTCTCTGCCTTTTGGTAAGTTTCGTTAACGTGGCTTTTCGCATCTCTTAGATAAAAATTTATTAGCATAACGATTTGCGTTCGATAAGTATCGATAACACGACTTTTGAAGGGAATACCTTGAATATTAGGACACTTCAAATCTTGTGTGTTGATATTGTATAGCCCTAATAACTTATTGCTAGACAGGATGAAATCTTCTATATGTATATGTGCATCTGTTGACGTGTCACAGTTATGATCTAAACACAGGAACTATTTCGTCTTAGGGCTAATCGAAGCTGGGTACAGGATATCAGCAAGTCGATCAGACCAATCAATATCCACTTATTTTGGCACATTGCAGGACATTTTTGGTGCTGTGGGGTGCAGTAGAGATTTGAATAGGGATCACCCCATTAATGGGCAGCATTACGGCTCACGCATCACGAGCTCACGCACACACACGCACAGACAGTGGCATTTGAAGTGGGGTGACTGATCCTGGTGCAGTACCACCACCTCTTCCACTAGCAGCAGCACCACCACCAACAAAGCAGCAGCAGCACCACCACCGCCGCCACGAATACTATCAAAGCATCTCGCGCACAGCTGTTCATGGTCACAAGCGTGAATAAAGCGAAAGAAAATAGAGAAATGCAAGCGAAAATAATAAATACCATAAATTCCAATTGCCAGCAAGGGTAGAAAGGACAAACAACAACAGCAGCAGCAACACACACACGCACGCTTTCCCTTATTAATTCCCAACCTCAAACGCGGCAGCTGTGAGTCGGGCCTGAGCCGAGTTCGAGGTCCCGAGTCGCGAGTCGCGAGTCCGAGTTCAAGCCTAGTCTTGTCTAATTGGAAATTACAATGAACCGGAAATGTTGCAGCCCGAAACTGAGTATGATAAAATGTACACACTGCGCGTGTGTGCGCCCGTGTGTGAGATTATGAACAAGTCAGACTGTTCTAGTCGACTAAAAGATACCCTCAGTGCCGTGCCTAGAATGTTTGTTAGTACACGCGCACACACATTTACTCATATATCATATACATGTACATATACCAAAGCGAAAGGTTCTACCTGTAAAATAAGTATTATTTCAGTTCTATATGGAATGGGAAGAGCTATTTCAAACCGGAAAAACATGTCCCAAAAATCGATATTTCACTTGTACAAAGACAGAGATGCTGCCGTTTGCCTGTGCCTGTGCCAAACAGTTGCACAAAACCAATATACCCTCTTTAACCTTTATGAAAGCGTACAGGGCATACAAATGGCATAGTCACCCCTATTGCGAGGCCTATAACACATAGAGCAACCCCGCAAGCCGTGCCGGCTCAGGCAATGCAGCCGTGCATTATTATTAAATAGTTGGCCCGTTTTTATCGGGTTGTTGTTGTGCGCCCTACAACCCCCTACATACACACATACATACGTATATACACATGCACATATAGATATATATATAAATGCCCGATCTAGCTGCAATATGTGTGTGTGTGTGTGTGTGCGGTATGTACAGTTTGCTTTGAAGCTTTTGCCAGCTGAAAGGGTTTGGGGGCGGCTAAAAAACATGATTTGAAATGAAAATTTCTTTGCTGTGGCGGTTCTTGGAATTTCCCTGATTCTCATATACCATGACGCACGACGCGTCGCAGTTGACGCTGGCATTTTTGGTCGCCTTCCCCTAATTGTGTCTGTATTTGTATCTGTGTGCGAGTGTGCGTGTGTATTTGTGTCTATGTGTGTGTGTTTGTTTGTTTGTGTGCGGCACTGGCTGTGCCTTTAACTGAGACTGAGACTGAGACTGGAACTGGGACTGGGACTGCATCCTGTCGCGCTGCCAACCATCCCCTGTAGCAGCAGCTACAGGAGCAGCCCAAAGGAGCGTACGAAACAAAAAGCCGAAATACAACAAAAAAAAATTAGTGGCAAAATAAAAGGCATTTCAGTTTCCACAGCGCGTTTCAATCAAACAGACGCGTTTTCTTATTTCCCTCTGCTGGCGAGTGTCTCGTGAAAGGAAAGTCGGTTAATCGTTGCGTTTGCTTCTTAACTTTTCACCCGCTGCCCGTTTTCCGCGCGTGGCGCCCCTTGCATGCACTGAAATTTCCACAATAAAATGCGACAAATATTCAACTTGCAAAGCTTATAAAAAGAAAAAAAGAAACAACCAAAATTTAAAATACTTGATGCTTTTTACGGTTCCCAATTCGATTTTGTGTGTTTATTTTGTTTGTTTTTGTGCTGTGAATTTTCCAAAATTTATTTGAAAAGCGACTTAGACAACGGCTCCAAAGTGGCGCCGTTCTCCAAACATTTGGATTCCCTCGAGGAATTCAAGGCTCTCACCGGTGAGTTGTCAATACCTCAAGTCCCGAAATCTGAGTGACCCAGTACATGTCTCTTGTGTTGCCCGCAGCGCTACCTGTGCACCAAGACAGCAAAGGGAAAGGCAGGCAGAGGGGCACAGGTAGAGCCAGACCCTAATCGCTTTTGGTAACTTCTGTGCACTGACAGTATTAGATAATATCACGTTCAATATCTCTGAGCAGGTCAATTTGAATGTCTCTGTACTCAGATATTTAAATAGATCTCAACTAGAAATTAACATGAATTTTATAAGCTATTTTTTTTAACAGAAGAACTACACGCATTTCATTCTTATGTCCGCATAGAGGATCGTCGAATGTGTTACGCTTAGAAGGAGACTCGGCCAGAGCCGAGTCGAAAAAGTCTCTCAGTTTCTCAGCTATCGTCATCGAAACATGGCATATGTCCGTGCTTGGGTTCTATGTCGGATCAGGCTGGATCCAACGACTATATCCAGTAGGAATGATTGATCAAAAATAAAGTATTTGCTTATCTCTTCCTGGCATATACGAGAACCTCTATATCATATAGATTTATCGATTGAATGCATTTGAGTTGCATTTGATTGCGAAGAAACTCAGCAATTACGAGCTACACAATTCTCCTCGTAGTTATCCTGCCTAAACCATGTCTAAAGATGCATATTTGTTATTCTTTCTGCCTTATATTATTATTATAAATCTTCTCGCTTATAGCAGAAGTTCTTTGGCAAATGGCACAAAGTCATATTCAGTTCGAGTAGTTAAACAAATGAACGTAGAAAAGGATTATTGAAAGTTGTCTGCACTTTTGCTATACAGTCGGGCAGGGCACTTCAACCACGTAATTCACTCACTTTAATGAACCAGCCACTTAAAAACCTTTTTTATCAGATACATGGATTGATATACTTTGTGTGATCTGGGCCTAAGAAAGGTCTAAAGCATAAAACAGTCTCCATTAATAGCCTGGGAGGCTGGGGGAAGAGCCTTTTCCATTTAAAAAGGAAGGTTGCTTAAAGTTTCATCTGAAAAATAGATAAAAAGTCATTAATAAGTCTAATTAAAAACCTATAATTCCATGAAACAGATATATTCAGAGATCTGCTGAGAATTCCATCTCCCAGATGGATCAAAGCTTGCCCATTTCTGTCAAATTATCTATATATTATAAAAATATGAAATATATATTTTAAAACTTCGGATATATATTTGTTAATAAGGTATATATCTGATTCGATATCTTATATTCGATGCTATAGAGGTTATAGATATATATATCAAATATATCATCACGAGTGACTATGCCCATGCAATACTGTCAAGTTCGACGATTTAATTCTCTAATTAAATAACAGATAGCCCATCTGCTGCATATATTCAAATATTTGACAGTCAGTTTCCACTCTCTTGATACCCATCATTAAACTTGGCTGTTGACCTGATAAGAGGCAGGACAAACGCTTCAGCCAAGAAGCTGCCACACACAGACAGACCACATGCCACTTGTGATTAGTGTGTGTGTGTGTGTAGTGTGTGTGTGTGTGTGTGTGTGTGTTATGTATTTAGCCAAGTGATTATGCACTTGTGCTCCGACATGGCACACATGATTACTATCAATTTGGAGTAGACGCGTTGATTGTCTCGTTGTCTAACGCGCCTCCCTCTCTCTCTCTCTCTGTCTCTCTATCTCTCTCTGTCTCTTCAGTGTGTCCCTCCACTTCCCTCTGCCCCCTGCCCCCTCTGGCCATTGGCACCATTGTTAAACATATCAAATGAAAAACGTACTTAAGTGCGTGGCTGAAGCGCTTTTCATCTCGCACACAGCACGCAAATTCATAATGCATATCAACGCCCGGACACCCGGTCGTGTTTGTTGGACAGGTTGGCCTAGAACGTGACTGGGACTGGGCGAATGATTTGGGGTGGTAGGCGGCGGTGATTTGGATCGCATTTTACCGACTATGACACAGATTTATTAAGCTTAAACCGCACTTAAAATGTGTGACAGATACCATACACCCACCCACACACACACACACACACACACACACACACACCACAATTTTGTTTCTAAATTGTTTTTTCTCTGCTATTTGTTTTGCAGTCGGACCCGGCACCATACCATCCCCGTGGCCACCAGTGAATGCCGGTCCTCCTGGTCCCCTGGGATCGGCAGACACAAATGGCAGCATGGTGGACAGTAAAAACTTGGATGTTGGCGATATGAGCGATGTAAGTACCGCAAATAATAATAATACAAACAAAGTCTACACGTGAATATGTTTAATAAATTAATGATCTGCATAGTTCATATTGTCTGGGAATGTTTCCTTAATGATCCATTGGGAGTATTAATGAAAGCTAGAACTCTTTTAAATCAACTTGTTAGGCTCTTTTTTTTAATTTTAAAAAGAAATCTGTAAATGTTTTTATGTTTAATTGACTCAATGATCTATTGGGCATATTAATGAAAACTAGAACTCTTTTGAATCATCTTGTCAAACGCTTTCAAGTTCTTGAACAGAAATTATTTTATGTGTTCTTATGTTTCATTTCTTTCAAGTTCCTTTTGCATTAGCCAAGCAATTACCAGACAAATTAGAGATAATTTCCCAATTGATGAAACCCTATTTGAGGTACTCCTTAAAACTAGACTTAGGTATTGCTGTAAGGGCTAGCAAGGACTTCCTTATTCCTTGAGGTCAAAGCAAACACAAATATTTGCATTCCATTTGACTGTGGCCCCAGCAAATCCAGAAAATACTTAAGCAATTGCCAACAGCAGTTGTCACAATGCAATCAAATTATTGTTGCTTTCGATGAATAATCGATGAAGAAAATGAATCGATATAATTGACTGGACAATTATTGCAAAGTGCAGCTGCTACACAGAACTATAGACACACACTTATGTATATATATATATATGTATATATTTAAACATTTATTTATTTTTCATTAAGTTAGTATTGACACAATTCGGAATTGATTTCAGGACGAAAAAGATTTATCATCCGCCGATGCCGAGGGTGTCTGGAGTCCGGACATTGAGCAAAGCTTTCAAGAGGCACTGTCAATATATCCGCCATGTGGACGGCGAAAGATTATATTATCCGATGAGGGTAAAATGTATGGTAAGCGAACTATTTCAATTTCAATTTTCATTTCGATAGTATTGCAAATATATACCTCTATCCATATGGGGCCGGGTGTATTTGTGGGCGTATGTGTATAAAATTTATATAAACACTTAAGCGCTGTACTTTTGGTTGACTATGAATTTCTCGACAAGGTGCACACACTCTCCCCTACTCTTTATCTTCCTCTCTCTCTCTCTCTCTCTCTCTCCCTCGGTCTCTCTCTATGTGCGCGTGTGTGTGCCCTTCGTTTGCCTGGGTACAAAACAGAAAACAAACAGGAATTTTGCGGTTGCCGCTGCTTGCTTCTATTGTTTTTGTTTGTGTGCTATACCCTATAACAGCGGCCAGGAAAATCTGTTTGGATTCTCTCAAAAAAGCTAATAAAAATGTAGTTAACGTCTTTTTTTGATATCAATTCGATAATTATTGAATAAGGCATTCGCCGTTTGAGTATTTCAAATGTTCGAACGTACGTTTCGATTGTACGGATAGTTTAAATATAAGCGCAGAACATATCGATAAGCGTTTACATTTTGACATATACAAAAATCGATAACAATCGATTATTTTGAGTTTCGAATTCTTAATAAGTCTAATTGTGGGCATTTTGATAATGCTTATCAAATCCATCAATCGACAGCCATAATTTGTGGGCATACCTCAATGCACAAGAGGCTGGCACGCGCAACATTTATTTCTATAATTAATAATTATAGCTTAACTAATTAACCAATTTTGGTGCGTTTAAATCACGAATCAGAAATGTTCGCAAAATACAAATATTTATAGAGCATCTGCTGGTCGCATGCATCTAAAGCTCGGCGCATTCTTCTTTTTTGGCGTATGTTTGCGGCGGCCCGTGTAAAGAAAACATAAATTCCGTACTTTGAACCTTGAGCTGAAAGTTGTGTCAAAGCGCTTTGTGCGCCCAGGTTGCGTTCAGTGGGTGGCTTTGGGTGGCATTTGGGTTGGGTTGCGTTGGGCTTGGGATATGGCAACAGGCGATGGCAGCGGCGTTCAAAGTTTGACACCGTGCCGCAAAACGTTGTCGAGTCGGGCTAAATGTGCTGACAACTAAAATTGTAAACGTGAACTGCGCTGGTGTGTGTGTGTGTGTGTGTGTGTGTGTGTGTGTATGTGAGGGTGTTGTTGTATTTACAATAAAAGCTAAAAGGACATACAGAGCCGACGGCGTGTTGTCTTCGTCTGCTGCTGCTGCTGCTGCTGTTGTTGTTGGCCGCACCCAAATGGCGGCTCAATGGAATTACGACAGCAAATTGTGAGAATGCTGCGCCCTCTCCATGCCCCGCCAGTGTTGCCTGCCTCTGACCCCCACACACACAGGCAATAGGCACGGCCTGGTAATGCTTTGCTGCTGCTGCTGCTGCTAGTCGCATCCTGTGTGTGTTTTATTTGAGACGTCTACACGCATAAACAACAAGTTTTGTAATTTATGTCCCAGAGGATATTGTTTTCATTTTATGCTCGGACTCGCCCAGTTCCCCACAGTTGCCGCCCCACCGTCCGCCCATTCGTCCTTTGTCTCTGCTGGCGCTTGTTGCATGAAAGCACACTTTGTTTGCTTTTCGGCAACGGCTCAAGCTATGCCCCGTGTGTCCGTGTCCGTGTCCATTGCTTGCCATTGTTTTTGTATTTGAGCAAGTAATTAATTTTCACTTTTCACTTTTTGGCTTACCTAGCCCCGAGCACGAGCTGACACCTTCATTGTAGCGCTCCGACAAGGGGTCTTGTTTTGTGTTTGGCTATTCAAAGCACAGTGGTAGAAATTACCCCCCCTAACGGCCCTCTCGTCCACTAGCCAAGTGATTTGTTGAATTGCTTGTCCCAAGTATTGTTGTTCTGTTCGTAGTGTTAGCATATACCTTTGTTGGCAGTTAGTTGTTCTGCACATGAGTTAGATCCTGCAATATCCAACCAGGTGAGAATTCATTTGAAGGGGATCGGTAGCAAGAATCATTTATACAATCTTCTTCCATTCATTTTCCACACATGCAAGTGAATACATCGAAAATCAATTAAAAAGTAAACAATTTTAATGCCAATTATAGAATTTAGGAGCTGGGATTGTTTTCCATAAATATTGTCATCCTTAAAGCGCAAGCAATTCAAATTTCAAATGAACACTGTTGAAAAATTCGATTCGAACCGGTGACCTTTCGCTTGCTAGTCCGATGCTCTCACATCTAAGCCCCACAGCCCTATCAGCCGCGTTGCTCTTGAGGTTTTTCACAAAAAACGTGATGCCCTTTGCTTAGTTTTGCCCAAAAGGTAGCTTCCGTATCAAATCTTTAGCTTCTTAAACTCTATCACATATGTATGTACATAGATAGATCCAGTTGCTTGTTTTGAGTAGTTAAATGCTAACCAGTTAAGCAATAAGCCTCTATTTGCCCGCATTAGCTGATATTACTGCAATTGATTCGCCTCTTACACTCCTTCGCTCTCTCTCTCTCTCTCTCTCTCTCTCTCTCTCTCTCTCTCGCTTAACCAGCTTGCTAAATATGCGAAACATTGTGACAAGAGGCGACTAAACTTTTATTTATTGCCAACACGTGGCTTATGCAGCCACTCTGTAAATTCCTTGACGTTCGCCAGCTGCACGAGTTGTTGCCGCTGCCGGCAAAGCGAATAACAAGAAAAACGCGTTGTTGTTGGGAAATTGGAAAAATGTTTTTGGTTACGGGCTAAACACGAGTCAACTACTGCATTGCCCACTAAATATCGGCAAAGCTTCACGTGCCTCCCAATATCAGCGGGTTCATAGACAATGGGGCGTGGCGGAGCGAGGGCGGGGGCGCGGTCAGAGGCAGGGCGAGGGCAGGGCTTTGCACTGGTTGCGGTCGACGTCGCCGTCCCCGCTATGTTATGTGTGAAAATATAACCATTGTTGGGTTGTTAATTTTCTAAATATTTGCATAGTCACTGAGCATGCAACACACACATATACACACACACACACACACACACACACACACACCCACTGGGGGGCTGGTTATGACACATGACAAGCGGATGGACAGCTGCATACAGCAAGCGGCGCTTGGTTCTAGGGGGCAACGGCGTTTTGGGCTGGGCTTGGTGCCTGACTCCTGTGAAATTTGTGGCCTAAAACTTTCTGCCTGCCGCGCTGCCTCCAGCTGCTGCCACAAATATGCAGCTCCGCTAGCGGCGACTAGGGCGGCTTATCACATCAACACACGCGCACACACACTCACACAACATGTGTGTGTGTGTGCACATTCGCGCCATGGAGGCATCACCCCACTTGGCTTCGGCCACTGATTTTATATGGTAGCCACAGTGGCACCGCAGGATTCAATGTTGCCCCATGCATGTGCATGTGTATGCGTCTCTTGTTGTGTAAACAGTTTTTTTTTTTTCTTTTTATCAAAAATTCACCTGAAGAGCCCTTAATAAACATGCATGCAGCAACTATTTCAAAGCGCTTACAAACAGTATTGACAATTTAGCCATTTTCTAGGTGTATTTGGCTTTTATCAGGCTACAAATTAAAATTTATAATGGTTCAGCAGAGCTAATTCAGCTGTTTTTAGCTATTTTTTAAACTGCATTCAGCTAATGCCAGTTATATTTAAAGCAACAACTGGGCACACTGCTTAGAAACCGCTAGCAAAGTGTTGAGCAACGTCCGTTTGGCTTCAGCCTTTAACCCAGTGCTGCAAAGCAGTGCCAATATTTATTTTTAAATAATGTTAATAGCTACATTTGAACCAGTTTTGGAGCTGCCATTGTGAACCAGTTTTGCAACCGCAACCTTATTTAAGTCCATAAAAATTCGCGTATGCGCACTCATCATTTTGTCAAAATTTATTCGATTTTTATATGAAATACTAATCAAGGTTAGCCTTTTTTTTTTTGTGCTTAATATCAATTTGACATTATCATATTACTCATTTTAAAGACAATCAAAATTTGTTGAGAATTTGTCAACATTTTTTGGATTTTTCAAATTAATTCATTTATTCAACTGCAACAAAATTAACATTCTACTTGCTGGCTTTTATTTGTCTTGTAAAGCTCTCAATGTGCATTTTCCTGCGAAATTTCGTTTTTGTCTTATGTTTTAAGGTTTTAATGAAATTAAGTTCATTTAATTTAATGTCAAGTTTGAAATACACCAAAACGAAATACTTCTCGGCGGCATTTTTTAATAAAGAAAATGCAATTAATTAACACCAGCATTGCGTCTTTTACGGTCCTTCACGAAGAGACTGCACACATAGTTAAATATGTGTGTGTTTTACGTATGTTTAAAGCAGCGCCACTTCAATTGACTGATTAACCTTTGTCACATTTAAATATGAGTACAAATAAAATCTTGTGTGCTTGTTCTATGTGTCTGGCATTTAAACCAATCTAGGGATGGAAACGTGCCAGCACGAAACATATAAGATAAATGTCTGTTGTCATTCGAATAATAATGAAAACCATTCTAGATATATAGTCAAAATTAAGTATATTTAATATTAATCTATTCAGCATTAAATTTAAAGTCTTACGCAGTCAAATTCTCAGTAGTTCGTTTTAAGGTTCGAATCACCTACGCGCCTTCAGCTTCCTCTTCCACATTTTGGAAACTAGGTCTTGATTCCCACCTGAGTTTGACATATTCAGTGCGAAGTTTAAAGTCTTAACCAGGGCTGCAAACGATACCAATCCCGGTTTGTCATATATGCTCAAGTTTTTAAAGTTTTTGTGATTTATAATTGCCCGTTCTATTGAAAATATATTGAAAATCTTGCCAGCCAACAAATGTGGAGTCCAAATTAACTATAACTCGGCACTGAATCTACTAAGTTTTCTTCCAAAATATGTGTACAAATTGATATGACTCGGTTAAAAAACAAAATGTAATTCCAGCCAGGAACCGGTTCGAGTTAAAGTGAGTTTGCAGCCTTGATCTTAACACGAGCAGCTCGTGCGTGCTCCATTTACGCGTTCACCATTTAAGTCCCTACATTTAAGATTTTCGAAATTCACTTTTGAATACTACGAAAAGTATTTGACAATTGTTGCGATCCTCCAATTAGCAGCACCTGTCGTCATCAATGAGTATCAATTAAATGATGTGAACTGCAATAGATCTCGGGGTCAACATTTTCGTAGCTAGATAGCAACAATTCAATTGACATACATCGAATGATTCGAAGGGTCGTGGCGTGTACACAATTCAGGCCACAGTAGTGTGCACTCGGCTTTTGATTGATTTAAATGCATTAAATAAATTGGCGATTAAAATGACAAACAGATACGTGATTATTTATTGATACTTTGAACTGCAAGCGTTTGGAATGGAGCCGAAAGCGTTTGAATCATTAGGAATCGCTTAGCGTGATTCTGTTCTATTAGTCATGCGAGCTGAACAAACAGTTACTCTATAATTAAAATAACGCACTATATACAGTACTTACACACATACACATACATATATATATATATATATATATATATATATACATATATATATATATACATCTTTGCATATTTGTGTCGCACACTAAGTTTGGCCATAAATTCCATTTGAATTCCGGCTCTTCCTTTTTTGGGCCATGGCCCATCGATTTGCAAAGATTTAAAGCGTCAAGAAATTGAAATGCTTGGCTCTTCCTATTCATATTAAGTATATACGTTTTGTTCACGCTTGTGTGTGAGTGTGTGTGTGAGAGAGAGAGAGTCTCTCTCTCTCTCTCTCTGTGTGTGTGTGTGTGTGTGTGTGTATGGTGTGGGGTAAGAAATTGGGCGCTCAGGACCTTACTTGGCATCTATTCAGTGATAGGGCTGCATAACAATTGCCCATGCAGAACCAGTCATGTGAACTGTGAACTACTGAACTAGTTACGTGAATTTCATGCACAAACAGTACAGCAATGGGGCTGGCTTCTTGTTTCTTTCTGTGCGTATTTGTGCTGTAAGTGTGCACACTTACGAACTGGTTAATTGAATCAGTTGAAAGGGACTATTAGTCCTATGAACTACTAAAATATTTGATTATAAAATGCCAGAAATAGAGTGTTGTGTCTTAAAATGTGCATATGTGAACTGTTTCACGAACAGGCTTAATTCGAAAACCTGCATTGATCGAAACAGCTAAGGATTATTTGCAAAATGTTGTGCACTTGGGAACTGGTTCATGAATTAGTTTGATTAACAAATCAGTGCAAATGGACAAAACTGCAAGTTTCTAGCTACATTTTGCGCATTTGTGAACTGGTTCATGAACCATGTAGATGTATGCATGACTTACCCACGGAATTCGGTTCTATATTTGTATCACTGACTCCGTTGCGCTCCGTGCAGCTTCATTGAATCCCTCCCTGGCTGAGCTGGCCCAAAGGCGTTCACAAAGCATTAAGTGGGTAGTGGGTGGGTCGACTGTGTCTTTGTCCCTGTACGCCTGTGTGTCTGTGTGCGTGTTGTGTCTGTTCTTTGCGCCAGTAATTCTTAACCGTACCTACAGCGCAGCGATACGAACCACACCACCAACTCCCCACCATCATCAGCCAGCTATCCACCCGGCAGCAGCAGCCCGGACCTTGTGCGCCGGATCCGGCAATATGCGTGTGCTTGGTTGGGCTGTCTGCAACGGGGTTTGAGTCGCTGAAAATAATTTTATTCGGTTAGAACTGAAACTATGCCAAGAATGTAATTAGTGAACGCATAAGCGTGTGTACAATAAAAGCTGGATCGCTGTCGGGGCGCAGGAGCAGCAGAATGGGGCTCTGTCTCTCATTCTGCCGGCTTGCTGCTGCCAAGCATAAGCTAAAGGATGACCCGCCCACACCCACACTCACTCGCTTCTATAGATGGCCTGGCAGTGGGGCAATGGCAAGGCAACAGGACACTGACGTCAGTCGAAGCACATTTAGCTAACACGTGAAAATGTCGTCGGGCTTTCATTGAAATTTGCGCACAACTGAAAGCAGCATTTGATTCATCCTATCATAGCTGTGCTGTCGCAGATGCTGAAAATAATAACCCCTACATGAAGACTAGCTCATCAAGCAACTTATTTGCGACCAAGATTTGTTGGCTTTTTAAGCATGATTTCTGTTTAGAATTTTGGTTTGTTTAATCCTTGAAATTACCTTTAAATTGGAATCCACAAAATGTCTGCATATGGAATTCTACAGTCTGTGAATTTGTTAAATATCCCAAATAACTTTCATTATCTCCGTGAAATTTTGCAGAGCAATTTTCCTGAATTTCGAACATCATTTCATAATTTGTTGCCATCTGTGTTTAGCACAGATATTTATTGAATTTAATTGTAAATGTATACAAAATGCCGCGAATGTTACGAAGTGAACTCCCAAAAAGCGAATGGTAATTATATGTAATGTCATGTATACGTCTGTATATGTTTATTCATTATTCATTTATATATTCTCGAGCAGCGTCGATCTAGTCCTTTCCATCTGTCCGTACACCTGTGATCATGCATCGAGCTCGACTATAAGAGAGAGAGAGAGCCTTCTGCTCTTTGTCTGCCCTGAAAGTTCCATAAAGATCGTACTATAAACAGCGAAGTCAGGCTAAAATATTTGTTCAGGGTATCTGCAAGTGGGGCACTATCTACTGCAGCTTTCTATATATATATATATATGTTTTAACGTAAATGTGGCATCTTTTGAGACTGCGGACAAGCGGGGAACTTGTGCGGGCAGGGGGAGGCTGTAGGGCAGGCAACGCTTTAATGCCCAAACTGATGCCAGGAATGCACGGCCACAAATATACGATGTATGCATAGGTATCATCATATGTGAATCGTAATTTGAATGCACTTGTGAGCTAATAACCGAAATATCTTTTGTGTAAACACCGGATTGCACCATTTATTTAATTGTGATTTTTATTGGATATATTTTATATTTATATTATATTTTTCATTACAGGCCGCAACGAGCTAATCGCGCGTTACATCAAATTGCGCACGGGCAAGACGAGAACCCGTAAACAAGTCAGCTCCCATATCCAAGTGCTCGCCAGACGGAAACTCCGTGAAATTCAAGCCAAAATCAAAGTCGTAAGTCTGCCAAACATATATATGTATATATATATATATATATATATTTGCATATAGTATGTACATATATGAAGACCAACACGAATATCAAGAGGCGCAACAATGTTGTTGCGCTATGGTTCAAATATGGAGAACAAATATAGAAAAAAAAAACAGTTGCCATCCGTTTCTTGTCCACATGCTTTGCATAAGTACATGTTGTTTATTTATTTAAGTTCAAGTAAAGTTCAATTCACGCATTAATATTTAAACGAATATTATTTAATTTAAATGAATTTATAGCTGTTCATATGTCTATACATTTGCTGTGCTGTGAATTCAATTTTACTGTTAAATATTCAGTTTGAAATTTCGAAATGAGACAAATAATCAAAACAATTAAAACTTCTTATGATGAGCATGAAAAGCAAGGAAGAGTTTCTCAGTTGCAAGTAGAGCCCATTGCCAACAGTCAGATTCAACAAACAGAATCAGAATCAGAATCCAAATCCAAATCCGTTTATGTATTGATCAGTTCATTTGTATTAGAGTATCTTTCACACACACCTACACACACACACACACACACACACCAGCAGAGGCCGCTTGTGTGCTTGTATTGGTGCCCAACGGCGTCTGACAGTAAAAAGCACGAAAATTTGTGGCTTTCACGTTATCCATGTGTGAGTTTCCCTTAGCTGTGTGACGTCTGCAACTCGACTTTTTGATTTGATTATGCTTGAGTGTGTCGTCACATCTATACAGGACACAGATACACACGCACACACACACACACACACACACACACATATACAGAAACATACACACCTACACAGACACTCCGACACTCAGACACGAGACCAAAATGAAACTCTGTTTTCCAGGAACCAAATGGTGTATCCTTGCGTTTACTCAATGAGAAAGAGCAAACCCTGCAGGCCATGAGCTCAATGACCAGCTCACAAATTGTCTCCGCACAGGCGGCCAATAATCTTGCCCTGGCCGCCTCGGCGCTGACGGCGGGCGTACACCATTCGAAGCATCTGCCACAACCTGCCCACCATCAGCATCCACACCCACAACACCACCACCACCACCACCACCATCATCCGCACCACCACCATCATCAGGTGGGTGTGGCCGCTGCCGCCGCCGCTGCAGCTGCAGCTGCGGCCGCTGCTGCTGCTGCCGCTGTTGCACAATCGCCGGCAGCCGCTGGTGCGACAAACAATTCCGTTGCAGTGCCCTCCACGTCGTCGTCGTCGTTGTCGTTGTCGTTGTCGCCACGACACCACCATGCCCACCATTCCCATCACAATTTGACGCACCACACGCATAGCCATATGCATCCACACCATCATCACCATGCGGCGGCCGTTGCAGCAGTTTACCACCTACAGCAGCAGCAGCAGCAGCAACAGCAACAGCAGCAGCATCAACAACAACAACACCAGCAGCAACAGCAGCAGCAGCAGCAACCAAGTGGGGCAACAACAGGTGCAGTGTCACCATCTGTGGCTGATGGGGCTGAGGCTCATGTGCTGGCACAGCCACCGCCGCCGCCGCCGCCATTGCACCATCCGCCGTTGTATCCGGGCGTAAGCAACCGTTCAAGTTATCCAAGCTAAGCAAACGAACCACTCGAAACGCCAAATGCCACTTCACATTGGTGTACAATCAAAAAACAACAACAACAACAACAACACCAACAACCACTAACTGCCACAGCATCAGTTCTTAGCTCGCTCAGAATCACAAGACTCCACAATACGAACTCAAATTCACTTTACATCTACATCGATAATCCGTCTCCCTCCCCCCTTCCCCCCCACACGCACACACACTGCAACTGCACACGAATCACGATTCACACTCATTAGTTATAACAACAACTCATTTGCTGATCGAATTGCAATTCTGTATTTTTGCTCTGATTGCGCTCGGGCGATCATGCGTGTTGTTATCGTATATACTCGTAATTGTCTGTGTAAACTCGTTCTCTCTCTCTCTCTCTCTCTCTCTCTCCCTCTCTCCCTCTCTTTTTCTGATTGTCTTTTGTCTTTTCGCTAAGCGATTTCATTGGACTTAAATTTCTGTCATTGCCCACTGTCATTGCAATCTCTAATATCAACGCTCTCTTCTCTCCCTCTCTCTCTCTCTCACTCTCACTCTCACTTTCTCCATTATCTTCATCGTGGCTCTCTGTGGTGCTTAATGCTCGTTTGCCTTACTCATTATGCGTCAGCTAATATTTATCTTATTCGCCAAATGTTACTCACCAGCACTCGTTACTCGTTACACGTTATTCGCTACTCTTTACTTGTTACTCGTTACTCGCCCCTTCTTACTTGCCACTCGTCACTCGCTACTCTTTATTCGTGCTCGTATATCTTGAGGCCCAAACCCACCTGCTCAACGCTCGCTTGCTCATTGAAATCGACTCCTTGCTTTTTTTACATGCCAACAACAACAACAGCAACAATTATTAATATATATTTACATATGTATGTATATACCGATCTCCATAAATATTTATGTTTTATTTAACAAAAATTCTCGTTAGCTGTTTATAATACTAGTAAATAGAGTCTTACATGTACTAGTATTTGTATTCGTATGTAATAATTGTTTGGTAAGCTCGCCGAGTCAAATCAACGAATCAATCAATCAATCAATCAATCGCTCAATCATTAATGCGTACTCTCATCAGCTGTGTAACCATGTCAAATTCAAAGAAATCGTGCTTAGCTTAGTGTTGTAAAACGTTGTCTAGTATTTACATACATCACTCACAATTTGTATTAATTGTTTTCTCTCTCTCTCTCTCTCTCTCGCCCTTTCTGTCTCTCTCTCTCTCTATCTCTCTGCCCTGCTCGCGCTATTGCTTCACGGATGATTTAGCAATTTTGGCAACCCGGTCTGCAGCCGAGCACATCACAAGAGTAAGTTGGCATCGCCCGCAAAAAAACAGAAAAACACAACGCATTTGCATTGACCAATAGTTTTTATGATTACAGCATCAAGCCGTTCGCCCAGCCGCCCTATACGCCCGGCAAGCCCTCGACGGCGGTCTCCGGTGAAATAGAGGCTGGTATTCCGCCCGCACAATTGCCATGGGAGGGACGCGCGATTGCCACGCAGAAATTCCGCTTGCTTGAGTTTACGGCCTTCATGGAAATCCAAAGAGATGAGATCGTAAGTGCTGGCGTATTTGATATGATTCCTGATAATGTCACAATATCATATCTTCTTCTTCTGTCCTACAGTATCACCGACATCTATTCGTACAGCTGGGCGGCAAGCCATCCTTCTCCGATCCGCTTCTTGAGGTGAGTTGGGCTTGTGCTATGCTAGTAATTCGCAAATGATTCTCATGTTTTTCTTATATATATATATATATATAAATCAGACTGTTGACATCCGGCAAATATTTGACAAATTTCCGGAGAAATCCGGCGGTCTCAAAGAGCTTTACGAGCAGGGTCCGCAGAATGCGTTCTACCTGGTTAAATGTTGGGCGGATCTCAACACGGACGTAACGACGGGCAGTGAAACGGGCGATTTCTATGGCGTTACAAGCCAGTAAGTAAACGCGCTCTCTCTCTCTCTCTCTCTCACTCACTCTATGTTGCTCCTTTATAAATCATTCTCTTTACCTTGCAGATATGAAAGTAATGAGAACATTGAGCTCGTCTGCTCGACAATTGTCTGCTCGTTTGGCAAACAGGTTGTGGAAAAGGTGGAGCACGAGTATTCGCGCCTGGAGAACAATCGCTACGTTTACCGCATTCAGCGCTCGCCCATGTGCGAGTATATGATCAATTTCATACAAAAGCTGAAGAACTTACCTGAACGCTATATGATGAACAGTGTGCTCGAGAACTTTACAATACTGCAAGTGAGTAGAGAAGGAAGATTTCTTCTAGCACTCGCTCACACATACTCACGCCTTCTCTCTCTCTCTTTCTGTCTGTCTCCCTCTGTCTAGGTAATGCGAGCGCAAGAAACGAAAGAGACACTGCTATGCATAGCGTATGTGTTTGAGGTGGCGGCGCAGAACAGCGGCACCACGCATCACATCTATCGCCTTATAAAGGAATAGCATGAGCTGCATGAAGCAGCGCCCAATCTGTCCGCGTTACCCACCAATGCACAAATCAGCGAATACAGCAACAACAACAGCAACAGTAACAGCAACAATACGAGTAGAAACCACAACAGCACAACTAATAACAGCAACAACAGCAACGGCAACACAACCAACAGCAATGGCAACAGCAACAGCAACGGCAACGGCAACGGCAATAATAATAATGCCATCAAGAGCAACAACAACAGCAACGCAGCAGCACCCGCCAGCACAGAGGAGGCCTGCAGCTCAACAACTCTGCAAGGCACAGGACAGGAAACAGTTGCGGCCGCTATCAAACAATCGCCGACATCGCCGCAGCAGCAGCAACAGCAGCAACAACAACAGCAGCAATTGGGTGGCATTTCAGCTCTGCAAGTGGATGAGGTGCTGTATGCGCAGGTGCTGCCAGAGAATAACTATCATTTGCAACAACAGCAGCAACAACAACAACAACAATTGCAGCAACAATTACGTCAAAACACACACATGTTGCTGCAGCAACACTCAACGCAACAGCAACAGCAGCAGCAACTTGTGAATTACCAGGACCGTCCACCGCCGCCGCCCTACAGCGCCTGTCTCGCCAACAACAGCGGTAAACAGCAACAGCAGCAACAAAGGCAACAACAACAGCAATCGTTTGAAGTGGAGCAACATCAACAGCAGCAGCAGCAACAACAACAAACACAACAACAACAACAACAACAACATCTTACCACCTATGAACAGTTTCTGAAACTGTCCGCCCAGGAGTACACGCAACTGAACGCGGCCGCTGAGAATGCGGCGCTCAATTTGAGCAGCATGGGCGTCAGCAAAGCTGGCGAGGATAACGAGGTAAACGACGAGGCGACGTCTCATGAACTGCGCATGCTGCGGCAGGTGAATGTGGCCGCCGTTGCCGTTGCCGCCGTAAGCAATGCGAATGACAACGTGGCCGATGCCGACTGTGAGCAGTAGTTGTTGTAGGCGTGGCATGCTGTTAGATTAGGCATATACGATAGATAGATATATATATATATATGTATGTTAGCGTTGGCGATTTATTATGTACACACGCACACACAAACACACACACACACAAACACACACACACACACACAGAGAGAGAGACGCACAACAAGAAAGCGTGCCACAGGCATGTACTATATTTGATTTATTTATGCATATCTATATGCCAGAGAGAGAGAGAGCCTGCTGTACCTAACTTTAAAAACCTGTCACTGAATTGTATTGCCTTTCGAAAACAATAAGACAATCCTTCAGCTAAAGCGTTGCTATATTTATATATAGACCTGTCTGTCGGCAACTGTTGCTGTCGTGCCGTGTTGCTGCCGTGCTGTGCGCTGTGCTTGTGCCTGTCTGTCTGTCTGTCTGTCTGGCTGTCTGTCTGTCTGTCTGTCTGTCTGCCTGCCTGCCTGTTTGAAACTGTCAGCGTAGTAATTTTTTTTAATCTACATATATTTACATGCATAAAAAAAATACATTTAAATGATCTCAAAGTTACTTAAAACATATTTTTTGTGTGTAATTTGTATGTTTATCTTTCATTTTTTTATGTTTTATTTTGTCAAACGAAACATAACAAAAAAAAAAAAACATAAAAGCGAAACAGTTGTCGTACGCTGATATTCTTCAAATGAAAAACAAATCAAAGTTAAAAAGTTAAATATAATTAATTTACAACAACAACAACATCAGAGTAAACAAAATTACACCGCAAGCATAAACGTGCATATGTTTGTACATCTTGTATTCTATATTTTATTCGACACATATATAAATAACTGTACATATATATATGTAGTTATTTATATATACATATATATATCTATATATCCTTTTTTTTTTTTTTTTGAGTGTATGTTTATAGCTATTAGAGTTATGGAGCATAATGTATAGTAACATTTACATTAGTTATTTTTAATTATCTATGTAAATTACAGCGTATGCCACACACATATTTGAATGAATTGAGGGCAGGAGCTTGTTAGGATTAGAAAAGAGCTGCCAGCTGAGAGCTGAGAGGGAAGTGCATTGGGTGGCGTTGCCTTTGAGGCGCATTGAAAAGAACACACACTGAGCTAGCAGCTAAAAGGGAAAGCATGCACAACGATAGGAAAATCAAAAGGAAAAACTCGAAAAACAAATTTTCTTAGAAAACAAACCAAACAACAAGAACATCAAGAGCAGCTTACAGCAGTTTGTGTGTGTGTTTAACCACGATGTTATTTCTCGATATACTTATGTAACTATAGTGTAAAACGTATATGTGTAAAACAATTCATTTAAGCATGAATCGAACGATCCACCGTTATTAAAATGATTAACTATTGATTTAAATGCATTAAAAAGAAACAAAAACAAGAACGCGAATTAAAACTAAAAACAAAAAGCATAACCAAGAACAAATTCAAATGTGAGCAAACGAAAGTAACTTGGCATCAAGTGTACGCACAACAACAACAACAACAACAATAACAACAAGCGACCCTCCAAGTCGTGACTACCCGACCAGCTTAATGGGCTGGCCTGCTGCAGGGTATTCGTCGAGTGGCTTTATCCGATAAATGTGTCGCGATCCAATGCCATATCCAAAAGCTGCGAACATATCCATAAATGCCACTTGCCGCACACCTCCTCCAGCTGGGACCTGGTCGCCTTGGGCTGGTTGCGTCGCGTTGGGCGTGCACTTGCTGCATGACACCGATAATTACCAAGAAATACAATACAAAAAAAAAAAAAAACAAAAAAAATACAAAAAAAGAGGAAAAAAAAAATATATATATATATATATATATAAACTAAAACTAATTTAAAATAAAAGGAATGTATTGTAAATGTAAAATAGTATCGTTTTCGTATGTATATGTAGGTAACTAAGGCTAAACTATAAACAATACAAAGGTAAAGAAAGTATAATACATATTTATAAATGTAAAGTATTTCGTTGTTGTACGATTAAAACAAATACGCATTTTTTTTGTTTGTTAGTAAGAAAACTCAATTCAAGTGTTTGCATAAATCAAACGAAATGAAAAAAAGGGAAATTTGTACATTTATCGACAACAAAGCAAGGCATAAACAATAATGAAAAACAAATACAATAGTAAGCGATATTGATGAGGTACTTTGGTTAAACACTAGTATAAACAACAATCAAACACACACACCTACGCACACACACACACACACACACACACACACACACAAACTCACTTGCAAAGGGGTAAAAAGTAACAATAATAATAAATTAAAAATCGAGAAGAAAAACAAATAATATTTTAAAAAAATTTTATCGTGGAAACAGTTACAATTACATATTACAAACAAATACCGATTTATACAAAAGAAAGAGAGAAAGTTAATAACTAAACAAGCTAAAACATAAGTCTAACAACAGAGAAGCAGAGACACGTAAAGTAAAGTAAAACAAAAAAAAAAAAAAAACAAATATGAAAATGAAATAAAAATAGTGCCTAACAGATGCAAAGTATTACAAGCCGCAAAGTGTGGCATGTGGCATGCAGCTAGATTTGGTTTTATGGCGATGCCAATTTGTTTCAATCATGCGATTTATTTCCAAGTCAATATTATAAATGAAATAAACTACAGTTTCCATGAAAAGGTTAAAGAAACGACACTCACACACCTACACACACACACACACACTCACACACGGTGTATTTAGCGTTTGTGTTTTTGTTCATGCTCGATTTTGTTTTTCGTTTTGATTTTTGTTTCAATCTGATTTGATGCAAAAATCTCACATTTTATACACATTATAAGAATCTGAATTACGATATTTACAAAGAAAAGAAAAAAAAAAACAAACAAAAAAAAAAAAACAAAACAAAAATCCGTTCAGTATAAATAGCTAACACTCAAGTTAGGAACCACCTTAAGATCTTAGTTTTATATGCATATATATTAATATCTATTTTTTTTTGTGAGACATTAGTTTTTTTTTTTTTGTTTATTGCCTGCCCATTTGCCGCCCTGTACCACTAGCTTTCCCTGTCGTACCTAATCAAAGCACAAAGCAATCGGAGAGCTACTTAGTTTTAAAAATCCGTTCAAACTCGAGCCATGGCGCTTGTAATTCACAATTGGTTTTAACTGATTAATTGGCATATTATGAGCAAATCTGATTTGCCCAACAATTCAGCCAATAAATCAGCTACATTTCATGTGAGATGCTCACATACTACACGAATATCAATTGTGTCTAAAATCTATTATAATGAAAAACGATCCATATACCAACTGAAAGCACGAGAGCTCGCATATTGCGATATTTCGATATAATTGAATTCGTTTTCTTTTGGCTCAACTTAGTTTTCAATATGCAATAACAATTTGTTGTAAGCTATCTATGTATACATAGAGTTACTAAATATACTTATGTGCAAAAGCAGGACATGTGTAATGATTTTATGCAACAACCCCATACCCCCGTACCCCCACCCCCCTTCCTCACCCTTCACTCCATGGTACATTTTAAGTTATGTTTGGGTTTTGCTAAATAGAAAATTTAATTGTTTATTTAATTTTTTTTTTTTTTGTAAAATTACACTGTATTTAAATAAGATCATCAACAATCATCATCAGCATCATCATCAGCAAAAATAATAATGCTTAAATCAATTATTAATAAATTTATAAATAGATATACAGATAACTGAAAACAATAACAAACAAAGCAAGGATGAACAGTGAATTATGCAAAACAATAAAATTGCAATTATATTTATATGAAATGATTGCAATTGATGATTTAATTTCATATATATATAAATATATATATATGTGTATATACATATAAACATATATGTATGTATTTTGTTTTATATTTGTCGTTCAACAAAATGCAAGGACAAGAACGAGAGCAAGTAAGGGAGAAAGAAACATGTGAAATTTACGTAAGGAAAAAATGTGTCATTTTAATTTTTACACTGAAATGCATTAATAAAAATTTTAATATATTAAAAAATCTCACATGATCTAGTCTTTTATTTAACTTGCTTTACCCGTACCAATTACACAAAACTGTTCACAACAAATATAAATTTATTTGACTGTACGCACTAATAAGAGATGTTTTATTTTTTACAATGCAATTTAAATAACTTACTTAGTTGAAGATCATACTCGTTAAACTCTGTAGAACAGATCAGAATCAAGAGTCTTCGATTGCAAAACCAACCCGATTTTTGGTACCTTTTTTTGATATGACTCCTTGTCATTATTATTAATATTGATAAAGATTTTGAATTAATGCGCATCGAAAGTCCTGCTTTATACGAGACATTCAAGTTTTAAGACTTTTCCAAAAAACTTTAAATGAGCATAACTCGACTAAATGAAGTCCGATCGCGAAAGGATTGAGATAAAAGGTTTTTGATTCCAGGATTAAGTCTATAATTGCCATATGCCTTGGAAATCTTTCAGAATTAAAATTGTTGAATGAGAGTCGAAAATACTGCTCTATACGAGTCGGAAGAGGTATATCATTCCAAAACCGGAGTTTCTTTACCCGAGACATTTTATAAAAAGAAATAAGACCGGGACACCCCCCCAAGAAAAGCACGGATGAATTGCATTGCCATTAACTATATTTTATTGTTACATACATATACATATTAAACGCAAAAGCTTGAAACTGCGTACATAATTCATTGGGCATTGTACATACAATATAAAATCCAAATATCTTTTTGTTTTTCTACATGCTTGTATGCACTCATAATCGTAAGAAGATGAGTTGTCTTTTCTTTATTTTTTGGTTGTTTGTATATTTTAATTTATTTTATACAATACATGTTCGTAAATGTCGTTTTCATTTGCATCAATAGCGATTAAAGTACACGAAGAAAGGATTGTATATGCAACGGGATTGAAGAAGTGATCACTTTAGTAGCGCTGACGATCGAAACTTTAGCATCGGGGCGCAGCAATCCTTTCCACGATTTTTGCAACTTTACCCCGCCGAAACTTAACAAAATGTACAATTTCAAAAAATCAAAAAAAAAAAAAAAAAAAAAAAAAAAAAAAAAATCAATTCAAATGGAAAGTAAAACTGGAAATTAAAATTTAAAGACAGCATGTCGTGAAATTACAAGGAGACATAATTGCAGAAATTTTGCGGTTAAAGGGTGCTCCTCATACATAATTGAGGCATTCTGTATGCTCTCCAAATTAAAGTGTTGTTGTTGTTCCTGTTGTTGTTGCTGCTGTTGTTGTAGTTGTCTGTAGTTCTTGTTGTTGGGGTTTAGTGGAGGGCTGCCGCGTCGACAGGTTGCTAGGCAAACAACAGCCAACCGATGCAGAGAAAGGCGAGATACAAAAACAGTCTGGACAGCGTCTGCTCATCGTCGTACTGTGTGGTGCCGCGATTAGCCGCTATATATTCGCAATTGGGGGTATATATAAGTATATATGTTTATGTTGACATTCTAATTTACTTGCCAGCTGGACGCGGCTCGCCAAAGTTAAGCGATGATGTAAAGAAACCAAAAGGAAAAGCACCAATGCCAAAGGACACGTGGAAACTATCACCAAAACCAAAGCCTGGAAAACCAGGGGCTGGCTCGGGCTCTGTACGCTGGCCAGCAGGACGTGGTGGCACCTTATTGCTGAACAAAATATTGAAATTAATCAATTTTAGTTTATCAGCTTGGCGTAATTGTTTTGAATTATCAAACTCACCGTGGATCCTCCTGGCGTGTGCTATTGCGACCGTAAAGCGGTATTACTTTGTCCTTATCGACGGCTGCCTTGCAAACGGGGCATAGCTTACGATTAGGGCGTGTCAGCAGCCACTGATGCAAGCAGGGCCAGCAGAATAGATGGCCACACATGCTGACCACCGCATCCTTGGCTGTATCCAAACAGATATTACACTCGTACAGCGACTCCTCGCTGGGCTCCTTGTCCTTGTCATTGCTGCCGGCCTCGTTAGCCGGACCAGTTGCCGATGATGATGTTGCCTCAGCTGCGCCCGGCTCCTTGATATCTGCAAAGTTGCCACTGGCCAGGGCGCTGCCCGTGAAAGAATACGATGTTGCACGCTGGCGCAGCTCAGATGTGGCGTCAGCAGGCTTCCTGGCCCAGCCAATGTTGTCCGTATCTACGCACTCTGACCCATTTGTGGGTGAATTGTTGTTGTTGTTGCTGCTGCTGCTGCTGCCATTTGATGATGTGGAGGGCAGTTCGGGCGCCGTTGGCAACTGTGGCTCGCCAACCAGAGTCGCTGTTGCTGCCTCCATGGTCGACACTCTTCAACCGTCTACAAATGTGCCTCAAACTGTTTTTTCTGGTCTGTATGGGATCTGCTGGTTTTGCTTTGACGTCCAAACGCACGCGCTGAAACAACACAAACCATACCTATCACAACGGGCATAAATAACAGAACGAAAAAAAAGGAAAGCAATTATAGATATTATCAGCCAGTGTGAACCCACAACTGCGGCGAATTGGCAACGAGTCTATGTACGTTTAGGTGTGCGCGTATGTGTCTGGTCTTTCCGAGAGGGCGTGCGCGGACTGGAAAACCTACAAATACTCAACTGCCAATCAATAGTGGACACGTTTCCCAACATAAGCGGTCAATGCACAAAGGTGTCTCAGCTCAGCTTCCCGCTCGTATGCGTTCGTATCTCCTAAGAATTCAAAAAAAAAAACTGTTTAGAATTTGTGCCTAAACTAACTTCAATTTAATGTGGAAATTCATGCGTGTGAGACCTGCCACTATGGCTTCTGGATATATATTAAATATATATTTCAAATTTGTACGCCACAAATCAACAACGACTGCCAGGATTTGAATAACTCCAGATGCAGCACACTAGATACCTGACAACTTTCAATAGATACTTTAGGGAACGTAGGCGCAGGCTAAGATGAGGTTTTGCGAAAACCCTCGCGGAAAACTATTGCAGCTTCAAATTCATTTTCAAGATCTTGGTTAACATTCGTTTCATACTTTTCGAAAAGCCAAGAGTGTAAAGTGTAGCTTTACGGGCAAAACTCCATTTCTCGGCTCAAAGCTCATTCTCAAATCTCAAATCTATCAGAACTTTTAACGTGTACATTAAATTTGACAACAACTTTCAGTTCCGATGGGTAGATAAGAAAGCGGCGTCTAAAATATGAGGCGATGAGCTTGGCCAGTTATACAATATGTTCCTTTAAAAGTTAATAACAATATATATATATATATATGTAGTTACAGATATGCATGCATGTATGTATATGTACATATGTATTCCGAATGCGTCGCATGTTCATCGCAGCAGACGTAATCAGAGGTAATTGTCTAGTACTTGAGTTAAATTCGTGTGTTAATATGTGCGCATATATTTACATACATATTCATATATATGATGTATATGACCCATATATGTATATGTGGACCTGTTAATGCATGTTTAGATATTGTAAGCAGGTGCAAAGGTTTGCAATTTAAATGGCCAAAGAAGAACTCAAATCATAATATGCCGATAAAATACACTTTGGCGCAGGTCATAAATATTTATTTCCAACGAAACGTATGGCACTCGACTAGCAGCTACCCTGTGGCTGCGTATATGTGAACGTTTCTCAGTTTTACATTAGCATTATTTTGGTTTGGACCAGGTTTACGGTTCGAGTCCTTAGGCTCAGCTTGTGATTTCCTGCTTTTGCAGACATATGTACATACATGTAAGTATGTACATACATCAGCCTCTGCGATGCCCTTTTGCGGGGTATACTATAAGTGAGTCTTGCTACTGTGCACGGCTGCAGGTCTAAAGTTTACATTATAGCGCCCTAGATTGCATCATTATGGGCATCATAGTTGAGCGTTCACAAGCGAGGGGAGATCAATTTGAAGCAAAGAAGATGTTAAACGCGTGATGTTTTGAAGATAACGGCACTTACACCTAAAAGCTTTAATTGGTTGCGGATATCAATTGTTGCGTACCTGGCAGAACTTAAAGCGTTCGCTTCGCTGACGCTAATCAAATTATACACACACATTGTACATGTATTTGTTGGTCGGGGCAGAGCCAGCAGGCAAGCTTTTAGCCTTAGCATATGAGCAGCGTACTTTGCATCCGACGTGCAAAAACGTACGTACATGCTTACACACATATTTACCATACGTTAATATACATCGATGCACGTATGTGTGTGTGCATATATGTAAGTGTAGCGGTTACCCTATCAGATGAATAGGCATACAATACATATTGAAAAGTACACACACATACATATGTATGCGTGCACAATAAATACACACACAAATGCAAATCCATGTACTCGCTGCGCTACTGTTATTGTTTGCTTGTTTTGGTCAAAACGCTATACAAATGGGTTTTACAATGATTGGCACTCACATGAAATTTCTTTTTTTCGCGTCACATGAGTTGCTCTGTTTATGTTGAAAAGTTTTTCACAAACTTGACTAAGTTGAAATGTGTTTATTTTGATTTTCCTCAAGGCAGAACAGGTTGGGCCTGGCATACTACGTCAAAACATAGGCACATACACACACATAGATATACATACCTTTTAATAACGTATCATATAATTACACGTAATTTCTTTTGATATCAACGATTTACATTTATTAAACAGGCACTACAGCTGTTTATTGTGTCACATGAAATTTCATTGCAGTAATTCTTTATTTGTTACAAAAAAAAATAGATAGATATATATAAAATGGTCAGAACCAAAGCGATGGTGATATGCCTCTAAATTGATGGGTTGCGACAATCGACGAAGAGGTGGTGGTAACACAATCGATATGTATATATGCGTATATATCGATAAGCAAGTAAAGCAAAGCTGCTTTTTCGTTTCCGCTTACGATAGTTGTTGCGATATGTTTAACAGCTTGTGCTGCAATTTAATATTAATTTGATTTGATTTAATCACTCTGACATAGCGATTGAGCCATTTAAATTGAGTTATTCATATGTTCATATTTGCCACCACTTCTCAAGCAATTAATTCATTTAATAATTGGCGACCGCCATGCATATTTATACGATAGTTGCGTACTCAATTTTAGCATACCAGCATGACACTCAATTTTTAGTGTAACTATTGACATGATAATAACAAGCTTTTATACTTTGAACTGACAAGTTTTCCTAAACCATTAAACATAATTTACAAAAGAAAAAAGAATTGGGCAGATATTTATAATCGGCTAAAAAAAGAAAAATAAAATAATGATATTTATAGTACACCAAAATTATACAAAATAAAAAGTTTATTCGTTTTGCCAGGAAACATGAAGTTAAGATTTGGCGCAATTATCGAAAATTCTACTTCTCCCGTGCCAAAAAGCGGTGCATATGCTGCTACTGCAGCCTGCGTTTACTTTACTATAATAAAAAAATGAGTAACTCATACGTATATTAACAGCCGCTTAAAAAGCAGCAGCTGCGATAACTTGGAGTGCCATATAAGCCGTGGCTAACAACGCCACAAAGAAGGCGAGCGCACGTGCCGGCTGGGGTACCACCACGACGGCATAGACCAGGGTGTGAGCGATGCGAGAGATACCAACGGCACGGAACAGATTAATGGCCAGAAAGGCGCTGGGGTTTGTCAGTGTATAGAGCAGGCCGATTATAAAGAATGGGAGAATGTTCTCCAGATCATTGCGATGCGCGCGACGAACACGTTCCACGTTGGGGTCGTCGAATTTAACCTTCAGCTTTGGTGACATCAAATCCTCCTGATTGGCAAATGTCTGAAAGGCAAGAACCAATGTCAAAATATGTTTATTATCTGGCCGCTTTCACCTGCTGACCGGACTTTGACCCAGCAGCTAACTAATCCTCCTTCCCCGCTCGCTTACCTTGGTCTTGAAGCGCTGTATGGCCGTAAGCAGAGACATGGCCAACATTTTAATTACCAGCACACCGGTCCAGAACGTATAGCTCTTGAACACCGGGTTGGTTAGTGTAAGTAGTTCCAGACTCATGATTGTTTCTAATTTAATATATTTCTTTCAGTCGCCAATTGGGAACCGTCCTGGTGCGTTGCAAACTATCAACTGACGTGAGCACGACGTAGAATCTTATTATATGTATGCCGGCTGATGTTGCTCTCTGACGCTCGCTCTCTCTTTAGGCTCTCTCGCTGATAACTAACAGTGCTATGCGGCGGCAACAACACTTTCTGTGCTGGTGTGCGTGTGTGCATGGAAAGCGCCGAGTCATACTGACAGCACCAAAAAACATGCATACATACATAACTAAATATTGGAACTTACCAAAGTTATAAAACGCCAGATGCCGGTCACCAGACTCATGGAAAACATTTTGAGAACCAAGAGCGCACTCCATCCTATATAGCAGCGGAACACTTCGTTGTCCAATGAGATCAGCTCGCGATGCAGCATTGTGTCGATTTGAGATGCACTTGACGATTGAACTGCATTCCAAGTCTGAGCTAAAGCTGAAGCTGCCTGCCCTTCTAACTATTCCGCTGTAATTGCTTTGTCGAACCTGGTGTGGGTCCAATTTCTCTAACAGGGCGAACAACATGTCGACATTAAATGCTAAGTTAATAATTTTACATTAACATTTACATTTACATTTAACTATCCGTTTTATACCAGGTACCCATTGAAAATGGCTTAAAGGCTTGTTATAGCTCTGTGCAAATATGCGTAACTTCTCTTTCCCCGCGATTTAGCCACAAGTTGCCGCCTTGAGTCTTTCTATATATGTATACGCCTATAATTGTCGAATTGAAACCCTTATGTTCAATAAGGATCGTTCTTTCAACACCGGATTTATTCAAGTATGTATTTAATTCGGAAAGAAAAAAACACGGTATCTACTAGTCGGGCACTTGAGACTACAGCTCTGCTAGAATTTAATTACGTACTAGTTTAAGCTTAGTTAGTTGTTTTTAAAATATAACACGCAAACATATATATGTATATATATCATATACCAATATCTACAGATTTGTATGCATATTCGAAAATATTCGAGATCTATTTAAAGTGAATGCCACAATCGAGCAGACCCATCTAAAGTTGAGTGTAGGTCTTACGGCTGCACAAATCGCGGTGATTAAATGAAAATACAAAAGCTAACAAATTACAGTAATTACCATGAATTAGAAACAAAAAGCGAATCATTTTCAATTTAGCCCAGTAGCAGCGATTATGAGTATAAAAAAGGGCCCAGCACTTGCATTAGCTGTGCATATCTAGTTAGGTCTGAATTTAATATGAAAATTATATGTATTTCTTAAATGCCTGATATCGAAAACAAAAATAAATAAATAAGCTAGTCGAGAAGGCTCGCCATAGAGATATATTTATATTTATGTCTGGTGTCTAGGTCCAAAGTATCTAAGGTAAACTTTTGCATGGAGCATTTTATTGATATGCACATATGTATACATATATATATATATATATATTTATATATATGGAGGCTGGTATTCAACAATATATGCATATATTTATATACCAGCTCCCATATAGCAATCATAACACGTAGCTTACAAGCACCCTCAATATTTATTTATTAGATCTGATGCAACACACTCTACCTTAGTAACAGGAAGGCATACACCAATTTTATAGATTTTCTATAATATAGCAACACGTATCAGCTTATAATCCGTATAAGAGCTTAAATAGATTAAAAACTATTGCTCGTGCAGTTCCATGTTGCGATTCGATAGGAAAACTATTTTATAAATCTGGCACACAGCCGAGATGTGCCCAAAGGGTTGTGGGCGGGTCAGCTCCATTAAGAAGAGACCTTCAATTATGCAGCATGAAATTGTGAAGGAATGAGAAGCACACAGATTCATATTCAGTGCCAGATTCGGATTCAGTTTGCGAATATTTTTCAGCATTACTTAAAGTAAAGTGCGCTGTAATCTGTCAACTTCGTCTCCGTTTTTCATCATTGTCTGAATTTGTGGTGCGGTTCTGTCTCTGGCTCTGTCAACATTTTGCTAAAGAACACGGCAGGCGGCATGCACTTCAAAATGAAAAGCCTTCCTCCTCCGATTCTCGAGTGTAATTAATTAATTTCGCGCTCATTTTGCAATGCGAGCATTGTTTGTTGTCGCTGCAACTGCAACTGCAAAACATAAATCATAATGTGCAAATTTACATAATGTTCGCTGGGGCCACGATGCCAGCTCAGTGATCGTTCTACATTGGTCTCGTGGACACGCGTCGTCGCCGGAACAGCCTCCAAACTAATCCAAGGCTCTGAAGGATATATCAAGCAACTAAAAACGTGTGATTCGAATTAGTTTTTGAGAATGTCTCACGGTGAACGGAAAGCTCGCCTAAATGTGGTTAAATTTTTGGAATTGGTAAAGCTTGCTTCTATTTTTTTTTTTTTTCTTTTCTTTTTAATTTCTAGTGCATTTTCCACTGTGATATATCACAATTAACACAAATGTATACAAAGTCTTAAAGATTCACCGAAATATTCCGACCATCAAAAAGTTATAACCTTTAAGTAATTTGTTTCTTTCTGAAAATGTAAAGCTATGTAAAAAGAAAGCCACTTAAAAGTAGGGTATTTATAATAAGCTCTTACGGATTTGATCAATACTAATTGGATTTATCCTTAGGCCTTTTCCATCGCCTGCCTTGTGCTGCATTTCTACAGTTTCAACGATCGCGACATTATGACGTCATTCATGGCAACGGGCACATTCACCGGCTACATTATAGTTGTAATTGGTGTATTTGCAGGTAAGCAGCCAAACTCTATCCGACTTGCATATTTACATATATATATATATGGAGAGCGATGCTTATAAATTTTGTTTCATAAAAGGCGTTCTAATGCGTGCACCAATTCACAAGCGCATAGACATCTTCTTCAGTGTCCTCGGCTGTGCCCTGTTTGTGGCCAGCGGCGTCTTCATAATAGAGGCCTGGGAGTTCTCGTTTCGTACGCGCACACGGGATTTGGCGCTGATCAAGGCATCGCTATCTATTGTGAATGGTGTGTTGTTTGGGTTCGATGCTATCTTCACATTTCGGGATAAGTAATATAATTATCGATAAATATATATATATATTACATATATTATCGATATTCGCCCAATGACCTTGCATTTAAATCTAAATAAATAACGTATACGTACATACATATTTATACTTAACAGATAAACTTCTTGCCAAATTTAGAGAAATCACAACGCATACCATTCATACATTTTGTAAAAATTTAGTTTAAAAAAAAATGAACGATCAAAAAGACGCGTTTATTTTAGCATATTTTTTCTGCTCTCTCACTCATGTAGACATTTTGTATTTATGTTTTTAGTCCTTTGCATTAATCATATTTTATGTGACATTTTTTTTGTAATTGTTCTTGTCAATAAACAAAAATATAAGCCTACAACATGCATCTAATTTGATTATAATTAGGCTGAGGCCCGCCCATACACACACACAGCCATACATGCATACACATGCGGCAATTGGCCGCTGACACGGAAAGCATCAAAAATACTTAGCTCGAACGCGCTTTTACATGTTTAAAGTAGTTAGATTTAAATTTTTATTGTGTTTTTTTTTTTTTGTATGATTTTTATGCTTGATTGACGTGAGAAAATATGCAACACCGTCTTTTTAAGTTGTCGTCGTAGTTGTTGTGTTGATCTAGGGCTGCATCTTTGGATGTTGTTGCTGCTGGTTGCTGTTGGCTGTTGTTGTGGCTTTCTTAGGCAGAATTGTGTATGTTAAGGCGGAAAATATCATGAGCAACAAAATAGGTACCGGCATTGGCTTTCAGCACAAACACCTGAGAGAAAGCGTGTGGCGGATCGTCATCGCACTGAAAAACGTTTGAAAATAAATTATATTAATACGATATGCCTTCAAAATCGAACATTGTAATATCATATGTTTGCAAAATGTTTGTTTAAACGCGTGCAAATATAAAGTTAAGGTATAGCATTAAAAGAAGAGGAGCATAAAAAGGAGTATAGAGTGTCAGTAATGCACCAATAATCCAGAAGAAACTCGCTCTTCGGCGCACCGAAGCTGGGCATACCCTTGCAGACCATTTCATTTAATACATATATATATATATATATGTATGTTGCCTCAATTTCTAGCTAATCTTAAATACAATTCAAACAATAAACATTTTTGAAATATATAAAAACAGTATTCCAAAGAGGGAATACTAGAACAAGCTATGGGATTGATGTCTCCTATTAGGGGGATAACATCATCATAGTTGGCCTAAATTTTCATGTTTTTCATAAATAAATAAGTAATTTTTAAAAACATATTTTGGATCAAAAATAATTTGCAAATAAAGATCGAACTAAAACAAGTAGCCGAGTGATTCCCAGTCTGAAGCATATTTGTTGCATATCATATCATATATTCAGAAAACATGCACGTAGGGAAGAAGCTCAATTAGCTGGTATTACTTAAACTAAGACTGCAGCGGACTTTAATTTACCAACTTGACTGCAAAGGTAATAGAAATGTTATTATTCCAAAACAAACAAACAAAATTAGAAGCTTGGTTTTTGTTGCGGTGTCGTAAAAACCATGCACTAATTGACATATGTTAAGTTGCATTAAGACTTTAACAATAACCTGACTGCAAAGGCAACCCATGCGCAGAGTGTAGAGTAGAAAGAAGACACGATGATCGCAATGAGCTGGAGCCGGGGGAACAGAGGGCCTGCTGCAGCAGGTGTGTGTATGCATGTATGTATTTATGTACATATATTGAAGTCGGGTGTGCATGTAGTGTTTGTTAGCATGGTTCAATAGAACAATTATACAAAAGTATTAATCTCATTTAGTAAGTCAATGTTGTTGGTTTGTTTGTTGTTGTTACGATTAGATGCAACAAAATGCTGTTTACTTTGCCTGGCCAGGATCGCTCGCTGAGTGTGTTTCGGTTGTTGTTCTTGTTGTTGTTGTTGTTGTAGTAGTTGTTGTTGTTTACTGTCGATCTGCTTGGCTACACATCGTGCAGCGCAAGCCTAAAGATATCGTGCTGCACAAAGAAGCTAACGCCCACAGGCTTGAGCACAAAGGTCTGAATATACGCATGCGGCTGATCATCATCGGTCTGCATCAATACACGAGATATACGATACACGAAACATACATATATATATATATATCGATTCATATAATCATATACATATGCCTAACCATCTATGTAGTTGGCGAACGCATTGCTCGCTTATGATTCTCACCTGTAGACGTCCCAGCACATTGATCAAGACGCCGCCATCGAACGTGGGCTGCGAGTCAACTGTGGTGATTACGCGCGTGATCTTTTGGAAACTCAGACTCTGTGGAATGACAATATGTTGGTTACACCTTTTTCGATTTTTAATCTTAATGTCAGCACTTACCTGCACTTTCTCAAGTATCTTTGGCGCTCCTTGTATCTGATGGCCTTCAAAGGTCATAAAGGACTCTGTTGCCTGTGCAAAATGAATGGGAAACAAATTAAAAAAATATTCGTTTACTGCGTGCGTGTATACTAATACATAAACACACATTCGATTCATGTCTATGCATGTATGTATATACAAATATGACTATATGCGTGCATATGTATGTTGGCATATATGAGAATGTGTGTGTGCATGTGTGTGTGTGTGTGTCATACTTTTTATACGAAATTTCGAGAAAGCCACATTTATGCAGATATATTTATTATTTAGCTTTAATCTAAACTGCATTGATTGAGCGCCGAAAATAACAAAAATCTGTTTGCGCGCTCTTTTTGTCGCTGCAGCTCCAGGCAAAAATGTATGTTTGAGGCAAATTGTCAAGGGCGCATAGCGCGTCACCCGTGTGGCCAGCCACGGTAAATAAGCCTTTGTTTTTACATATCCTGGTTAATACAGAAATGTGTGTATGCGGTTTAAATTTAGTATCTGAAAGTGGCGGTGGGGATGGGGATGGCTAGGGAACTTGGTCGTCCAAATGAGGGACGCTACTCACGCTGTAGAAGTTAACCACATTAGCGCGGTTCGCCGGGTCGTCGAATATGCTATAATATTGCTGAACGAAACCCTTGCCGATATCCTCGTATTGTGGGTTAAGTGCCATATTGTCGATATCAGATTATTGTTGGAAGTATGGCTATACTTTAGTACAAACTAAAGAACTAATCAAAAAGTTTTGCTAAAACTTTGTTAATTTGAGACACTGAAAACGCAAGACAAACGGCAAGTGTGACCGAAAACGGGAAGCAGCTAAAAACAGGCGGTCGGGCAATTATTTTGCCAGCATAATTTAGCAGCTTCGATTATTCGATTATAGTTGAATCGATATCGATAAGCCGAAGCGCAACATGTTAAATGCGTTAACAACAATTAAAACTCATTTGCGGAGTATCCAATCTGTATGCTTAACGGATTTTTAATTTTAGGTACGTTTTTGACCATTTTGTTATTGTTATTGTTTTCACTTATCATATTTGAATATGTAAATGGACAAAGTCGCCGTATTTTACATGGTCAATAAAACGGTCACATTGTTACGCTCTCTAAATTCCAAACGGCTGTGCGTTTCGTGCGCAACACGATTAAATTGGTTTTGTGTTATTATGTTAACTTTTGCAAATATTTCCCAGCTTTGTCGCATTTGCCTGCGCCACTTGCGCCAGATTAACGAGCAACAACAGCAAAATGCCAATGCCGACAGCCCTCACGCTCAGCGCAACAAAGCCAGTTACAACTCGAAGGCGCTACCCCATTTGGCGAAAATGTTGAATCAGTTTTTTGCTATTGACGTATTTCAGCAACCGGAGACCTTTCCTCAGAACATTTGCGCATTGTGCTACAATGCCGTGGAGTATTTCCAGCAGCTCTGCTGCGTCGCCGAGCAAAGCAACGAGATGTTGATGCGCCTGACCATATCCCTGACTGTCGACCAGCCGGAACGTCCGGTCACAGATGCTAATCCTGCTGAAAATGCTGATCACTCGGTTGGTATATACAATTCTTTACAGTTGAGTCAGCTTGTTTTAGGGCTGAGCTAGCATTTTTGCAGTTGTCGTTCGTGAAAGCTGAGCCCACAGATGACGAGGCGCAACGTGAACAAGTATACGATTACGAGCTAGACAAAGACGCTGGAGCAGACGCTGCCGTTGATGCAGACGCAGCCGTAGACGCTAATAATCAGAGCCTGGACTCGACAAATGATGATGAGACCGTCATGAGCTGCGCAGAGACAGACGCTGCAGCTGCAGCTGCGGCGGCCACCAAACGCAAGCTGCTCGCCTGCCAGCAGTGTGGCAAGCAGGTGTACAAGCTACCTTATCTGGAGGCACACATACGTAGCGTGCACGAGGGCCATCCGAAACCGTTCCTGTGCCGCAACTGTGACAAATCATTCACACGCTACGAACAGCTGCGTTCGCATATGCGTAATGTGCACCCGGCTGCTGCAGCCGCCACCACAACGCCCAGCGAGGAAGTGGAGCTGATCTGCGAGCAGTGCAATCGCAGATATAGCACCAAAAATGCGCTTGGCGAGCATTTGAAGCGACATGCACAGGAGAGACCGCATATTTGCGAGCACTGTGGCGTCGCGAAGGTAACACGCACCGAACTACTCACCCATCTACGTATCCACAATCCCGACTGGGAGAAGTTCAAGTGCAAGCAATGCCCGCAGCTGTTCCGACACAAAAGCGCCATTAGCCGGCATGTCCGGGTCGTTCACGAGGGGCAGCGGCGATTCCAGTGCGGTCACTGCCAGAAGCGATTCGGTACTCATGCCTCTCAGCTGCGACACGAGCGCTTGCACATTGACACTTTTTAATTCAACCTGGCTAACTATGGTTGGTCAGTTATTCTTGATGTATAACTATATATTTGCAAATGCAAATTTATATACTTGTATTTATTCCAATTGTTATATGTATTCCAAAAATTATTTTTACCTTTCTATCTATACAACTATTATATGTATATCATATCGAGCATATCGACCGACATAGAGTTAGCAAAACAAACTAATGTTATTATATTTTGTTAGTTAATAAACTCATTGTTTTCTCATTCAATATATTCCATTACCAGTGCCAAAAGAGAAAACTAAAAGTAAAAGAGATAACATATAAATGCTAAATTTAATTTCATACCCCTCTTGTTCGTATGAAAGTAAAAGAACAAAACTAAATTTTACTTTCTTTGCAAGTTTTTGCTTTGGATAGCACTTCCTCTTAAAGTATAGCTACCGTTTTTATATATGTGAATCAATCAAGTAATGCCATTTATTTAAAGTAGTTATTGTAAACGAAGCCGTTGTGTAAATTGTTTCTAACTTTGCTTCTCTTAGTAAAATTCCGTATAGTTGATTGAAAAAAAAAATGTTGAAAAATGCAGCATCCCGGTGTTGATCAGCAATCAGTCGGTGGGTCAGTTAATCAATCAGTCCGTCCGTCAGTCAGTCAGCATAAACAGTTTTATATACATTATAGAGATTATGCGACAGTTTTGATACATTATAAGAATTACTGAACAGTTTGGTCAAATTTGGCGCTGGCTAAAAGACAATCCGTGCAGGGCCTGCGTTGAAGCTTCCGATTTGTCGGGAGGTAGACTCCTTGTTAAACCAGTTCTTCATTGAAACCACCCAGTTCTCCATGTGGCTGTCGTGTGTGTGTATCTCAATAAGCTGATTCAGCTCCCTTTGATAGTCCCTGGCCAGCTGTAATTCGTTGTCATCGAAGGCTTCACAGATCTTGTGCACAAGATCGGGTCGGATATTGACAACGACCAGACTGCTGCAATTAAAGCCGGACATTAGCCCGCTGGCTAGTAGCGCCGTGGAGGCCAGCATAACGACACGCCCGAAGCGAAGGCACCGCTGACCCATTTCCAGATCAGCGCTGGCATAGTACAAGCCCATAAAATTGGATATGCTGCGCTCAGCCTTGGCGCAGAATTCAACCATGTCCACTGCAAGCGGCAGCTGTATTGATTGCATTGATAATATGGGACTTCAACACTTCAACTTACGGTCCACGCCCGTCATCGAAGGCATGTGATAATAAAAGAATGGCCTAGTGCGGCATCGGGTCGCCACATGCTGGCAATAGCCCACCAATTGATCCACATTGCGCGGCCGATAGAACAACTCTGGCAATGTGACAACGCCGCTAACGCGTATCTCCTCGGCGTGCGCGGCCAGCGAGAGGACGTCGGGTAACGGCGCCCCGCCAACTTGCACCATAATCATCAGATTGTGGCGAACGGCGGCACGCTGCCAATACTCGCAGTTCGCCTTGCGCTCGCGCACACGCATCATTGGCCCTTCGCCGACGACGCCATTGATTAGAACTCCGGATATCATTTGACTCTGTAGCCACTCCGCGTAACGATTGATCGGACGTACGTCCAGCGAGCGACGACTAAGCACATACACACATATTCATATATATATATATATATATATATACATATTTATATATATACAAATATAGTTGCTTGTCTACAGGAAGTCACTCATTCATACTTACTCATCATCCTTAAAACAGCTAAACACCGGTGCAATCAGTCCCTGAAATCTTGAACTAAAGGTCCCAGTTTCCCTGGTCAGTCGAGTTTGTGATGCTTGCTCAGTTTCCAATTCATTGCTTAGTTGTTCTTTGCTTTCCTGTTGCTCTGTGGATATACAAATTGTGTTCATATAATATGCGCAATTTTGTTGAACAGACGACATAGATTACCCGGAGCCGCTGGCTGTTCCTGCGACTCGATGACACGGTTTTCGGTTGCTTTTTGTACGCTTTTATTAAGACGGCTGCCCCCATCTCTACGAAACCAGGCCATATTGCCGGCAAGAGGCGGCGCCTAAATATCTTTGAAGTCTATTCTACTATGAATTTTGTTGAAATTATTTGAACTGAGCGAAAAGTCGCAAACTGTGCAGTGAAATTCTACTTACAAAGTAGGTGCTGGCTAGCGCATGTTCAAAAAATGGCGGTCTACTCCAGTGTGACCAGACACAAGTAAATGTTGAAATATCCATTTGCTTCAACTGATAGGATACGAATATAAAATTTACAAACAAAAGGCAAAACGTAAAGAAAAATCTTTAATTTATGTTGCCCATTTTTTTGAACTTAATACTCAATTTCCAAAAGTCATTTGCAGTGATAATGCATATGGCTTTTTGGCCCATTCAACTGCAACTTGTCAAGCTGGGCCGCTTGGCAATTGGCTCCTCACTGCGAACGCGATTTCATCTCATTTCGGCAAACATCGCAAAATCAAAACAAATAACACAACAAACACAACGCAACGAATTTTGTTATTGCAGCAACAACAAGGACAGCAGCATGCTGAAATATTTAAATCAAAGTGAGGCCATTAACGTGGACCTGGAGCTCTTCAATGAGTACAAGTTCAGTGTGGATCAGCTAATGGAACTAGCCGGTCTCAGCTGTGCTCACGCCGTGGCCAAATGCTTTCCGGCGAAGGACTTTGCCCGTGTACTTGTCTGCTGCGGACCAGGCAATAATGGTGGCGACGGCCTGGTCTGTGCTCGCCACCTGGCATTAATGGGCTACACACCCGCCATATATTATCCAAAGCCAACGCCAAAGCCGCTTTACGAGAATCTGGCACATCAGTGCCAGCGCATGGAGATTTGCAGCATAACCGAATGTCCACGCGTGGAGGAAGCTGCCGATAGTTATGATTTAATTGTGGATGCACTATTCGGCTTTAGCTTTAAGCCGCCGGTGCGCGCCGACTTTGTGTCGGTGGTGGAGCTGCTGCAGCAGACAAAGCTGCCCATAGCCAGGTGCGAATGCAGCGTATTAACCATTCAATTATATGCCTACTAAACTACTTCATTGAATTTCTATAGTGTGGACATACCCAGTGGCTGGGATGTGGAGCAGGGCAAGCTGAACGATTGCGACCTAGAGCCAACGCTGCTCATCTCACTGACGGCGCCCAAGCTGTGTGCTAAACACTTTAAAGGCAAGCATCACTTTTTAGGCGGACGCTTTGTGCCGCCAGCTCTGCAGCGCAAGTACGAGCTGAATCTGCCTGCCTATCCGGGTAACGAGTTGTGCCTCGAGCTGTAAATATTTTCTAAACGCATCTGATCCATTCAAATTAAAGGCCATGTAAATTAAAAAAAAACAAAAACATAATGAACTTGTTACAAATCTAAAGTACTGTACCAAATTGATCGCAAATTCATATTTTTCCTAACATTCGCTGTCTCTCTTGCTCACTCTCTCTCTCTCACACACACTGTTTTTAATGGCTCTGTGGAGTGGAAACCGTGCATCGAATCAGCCTGTATGTACAGAGGGTTTTATATTCTGCATTGCTTTAAAGAGATATCGCTGAGCACGCCCGTAGAGTATATGAAAATGTATTCCTGAACAATATGTTTGTCGGTTTCCATACAAACTGGTTCTGTTTTGAAGATTGGCTAATGCAACTTGGCATAGATTCCTGCTGTTACAGTATGTTTATACCCGGTTACCCGGCATGTAAGCCTGGTATTCTTATAGCTAGCTAGCTTCCTAGACTCCATTTAATGAAATTTAATTTTGAAATATTTTATTTTTAGATTTTATTATTTATTTATTATAACATATATGTTTGTGGCATATACACATGTAGTATAACATTCCGTACTATTTATACAAGCGGTTGTAATTCTTGCGTCTGCGATCTTCCTCGAAGTTGTTATTGCGCGCCCACTCCTTTAGGTTGCCCTTGGAGCGCAGCATTGCTGATTTTGAGTCAACGTCACGCATCACAAACGGTGAGAAGCCAGCAATATAATCATCGTCCAGGGCATTTGTCTTTGTTTTGGCCACGCGTGACGGCATCTGGCGCGGCATGGGCTGATCCTCAAACAGAATGGGATTGCGCGAATGCTTGCCGCCATGGAAGCGTGGCAGACTTTGGTTCTTATACTTGGACGAAAGGGGACGTCTTGTGTTTATGTGTATCACCTGTTTGCCATTCTCGTCCAGACTGACGGCCACGCGTTTCAGCGTCTTGTTGCCACAGTTCGGACAGAACACCTTGGTCATGATGCTCGTCGTTTTGAAGCAGGCGTAACAGCGCAATATGTAGGTGCGCAGCTGCTTGATAATGCGTCCATTGAGCGCGGCCAGTTGAAGATTCAGCTGTTTCAGCACATTTTGTAGCGCATAATCTGTGGTCATGCACGCCACTGGCGGCACAATATCTGTTTCCACTTTGCCCTCAAGCGCTTTTTTGGCCTTCTTGATGTTTGAATGCGTTATCCAGCCATCGTCGCCAACGTCGTCGTCTTCGTTGTCGGCGGCGTCGTTATTATTGCAGCCTGGCTGCTCCTCATCGTCTTCCTCTTTTGGCTCCGCCACTAAAAGATCGCAAGTTGCCCGTTCCTCGTCTGCGGATGGCGCACATTTCAGTTTCTCAAATAGCTTATCCAGCTCCTCCTGTGTCAGATCGTCCTCCTCGTCCTCGTTCTCGTCATTGTTGCTTGTCTGTTTGCTATCAGGACTCGGTATCTGTTTGCCCTGCAGCTGCGCTTCAATGGCTTCCTTAATATGGTCCACATGAGCACTGCTTTTTTCCAGCTGCTGTTCACTATCGTCGCCTGCCTCATTGGCATCGTCCTCCTCATCTTCTTCTGCTTCCTCATCGTCTTCGTTGCCCTCGGGCATGTACCAGCCTACCAGACGCTTGTTATTAACATCCTGCATCTCCTCTGGCTGCTCCTTGGAGGCAATTACCTGCGAGACGACTGGTTCGGTGCGCAGATGCTCGGTGCCCAGTGTGTCCGCCTCCAGTTCATACGTGAGCGAAATCACCTTTAAATCAATGCCAGATAAGCTCGCATAGTCGCCAGTCTTCTTGGCAAACTCCACGCAGTGTTTTACACTTTCTGGGCGCGGCTCTCGCACCTGCAGATCAAATGGCAGCACACAAAGTCGGCGTATTTGGCGTTTATTGCGCACCTCAGCAACCACCTCAGGCACGGTTAGCACATTGTCCGCATATTCCTATAAGCAATCAAACATAAAAATAAATAAAAAAAAAAATATGTGTAAAATGCATGCACTTACATTCAGTGGCACTGCATTAATAAACGCTGTTGTATCTGCAACAAGATATTTGATTTTGCTGCTACTTATACTCATTTTGACTCGTTCATGTATATTTGTAGGCACGGACTAAGATTAAAAAACAATTTTTATTAGTGCACGTGTTGGGGACATGTACTATTCAAACTACAAGGTAGTAGTTCAGTGGATACACATATCGTTTCACTTTGGTAAACCATGTACGTCATAAATATCAATAAACATATCAAAATGTAATAATGATGAATACTAAAATATTTATACTAATTGTTTTAGTTGGGTAAGGCATGACAGGCTATGAGCTTTATACAATGAACAATTGTACTGCAGTTATTGTGATTTTAAAAAATATATAGAGGACAATTACTTCAAATCTATCGACAATGTGTGTGGCGCGTAACCTATTCTAATTCTCTGATGCTAGTCCATCTCTTACTGTTATCGCATTCAATTGCACCGATAGGCATAAACAAGCAGTATTGTATCAGCGATACGATATCAACATCCCTCTCAAAGTTCATCTCTAGTTTTCAAGCCAAAAATGGCGAAGTAAGTGCGTTCTCTTTTCTTTATGTTCGGTTTTGGTTTTCTTGTCAATGTTCCAGACCGCACAAATTATATAAAACCGCGCCAAAGCAACCTTAAAAGTAAGTAAGTTAACAATCAGACTGCCATTACAATTTACAACAAATACTATTCGCGTGTGACCATCAGAGAATTGCAATATAGAACGTACATTTTAAACTATCGCCAATGTGGAATCAATGGCCAGTCGCTGCGGTGCCAGCTGTGGTGCCAGCTGCTCCAATGGCTGCACCGCCACCTCAACCGGCAGTGCCGCCTCCACTGCCTGATGCGCCACCGCCGCCACCGCCAGTTGATAATACACCAGCTGCAGCCGCTGTTTCGGCTGCTGTTACGGCTGCAGGTGCTACCGGCACTTACATGGGCGCTGGGGCTGGCCAATCTGCTACCAATCCGTATGAACAATACACGGCCGCTCAGTACGCGGCGATGACGCCGGAACAGCAGTACGCATTGCAGCAGCACTGGCAGCAGTGGCAGACCTACCAACAGGAGTACGCCAAGTGGCATGCACAGTATGGAGAACAGGTTAGTTGTGCCCGTTGTTAACCTTTCCAATTACTAATAAAATGATTTTATGCATGGCAACAGTACAAGCGGGAAATGGCCGCCGCGGCAGCTGCTAACACTGTGCCAACTGTGGCGCCTGCGCCTGTCGCAGCGCCTGTAGTACCCAATGTGGGCCCTGTCACAGCGCCAGTTGCATCGGTTGTGCCTGCTATTGGTCCCGTTTATCCGCCAGCCCAAATGGGCGCACAAATGCCAGTGCACCAGGCACAACCACCACCACAGACATACTTTCCACAGCCTCAGATGCAATCAGCGGCGCCACAAATGCAACCGCATTCGCAGACTCAGATGCCTGGTAAAATAATGGCACAGCCCCAGATGTACAATCAGCCACCACCGCCGCCGCCGCAAGTCTACCAGCAACATCCACAACAACAGCAGCAGCAACCGATGCATCACCAGCAACAACCGCCTCTAAATCAATGGCAACACCAACAACCGCCGGGCAGATTCAACCAAATGCCACCCGTTGGCTATAATCAGACGCCCAATCCTGGTGACTCGAGCATGTTCCCAAATTTACAGCAACCGCCACCTTCGTTTATGCAACAGCCGCCGCCGTCGTCATCGTCGGCCAATCAAGTGGATGCTCCATGGTCAAAAGGACCACCGAACAAGGGCACTGATAGAGGCAACATAAATGAAACGGATCAGCGGCCTCGCTGGGA